TCTCCAAGACGATGTGCACAGCTGTGCAGAAAAAACCACCTCTGCGCGTCGAGACCATGCCTGGTGTTGAGCCGGTGCCCAAGAAGAAGAATTCAGGAAAGCTCTGGCAGGTCTCTCTTTCGACCTTACTATAGAAATTGTACTTTGCCACACATTTGCTTGGAACAGCTTTTCGAATTGTGAAGTTGGAATGCATCGAACGTGCAAAAAACACCAACAAAAAAGATACGACGACGACGACGACGACACACACACACATTTAAAATCATTTAAATAAATAATATATATATATAATATATATATGTATTGAGGGCTATGTTTTCGTTTTTTTTTTTCAAATATTTTTTTTGGTTTTTAAGCCTAAACCTGGGCACTTTCCCTTGCGTTTTGCTACATATTGGAGCTAAAATCTGTGTTTCGCATGCATGAATCTCCCTTGTGTGGCTTCTGTGGCTTGTTGGCTTCTGTGGCTTTTGTGGCTTTTGATGGCTTCTTGGATCTCGTAGCTTGTTGGCTTCTGTGGCTTGTGTGGCTTCTGTGGCTTTTGTGGCTTTTGGTGGCTTCTTGGATCTCGTAGCTTTTAATGATTTACTATTCACAGCAGGGGCAGGCTGATTTAATAGTTTATCATATGGATTTTTAACCGGCCCCCCCGTGCTACCTAACTCCTGCCCCTTTTTTTTATAAGCATCGTTTATTTGGGTTCATCCTGTCTTTCTTAATCTTTATTAATATCCATCGAGACTGCCTATGTTCGATGCGTGAGAGGATTATTGAACAAGCGCAGCGATACCAACCCCCATTCAACAAAGGACCCAGCATGAAATATTCAATGTGAAAATTGTGCTCAGTGTGACACCTTTACTCAGTGCGAACCGTTTGCTCAGTGTGACACCTTCACTCAGTGTGAAACTTTTGCTCAGTGTGACACTCAGTGTGAAACTTTTACTCAGTGTGAAGTTTTTGCTACATGGGAAGATTTCGTTTCAATAATACACCACCAAGCAGTGAGCGAGGCCCTAGGTTCTTGATAGTAGGTAGGAAACGAGTTAGTGCCTACGACCTGTGGCAATGTCCATGCTATAGGTTCAAAAAAGAGATTGCCTGTGTGCTCCTTTCTTGGTACGCATTGCGGGGGGAGGCGCTGCGCCCTCCCCCCTGCACACCCCCACCCGCTTTTATTTTTAATCGGCTCCCCTTGCTACCTATTCTCATTCTTTTTTTTCATAAGCATCTTTTAGTTGGGTTCATCTTGTCTTTCTTAATTCTTAATCTTTATTAATATCCATCGAGACTGCCTATGTGCTTCTTTCTTGGTACGCATTGCGGGGGGAGGCGCTGCGCCCTCCCCCCTGCACACCCCCACCCGCTTTTATTTTTAAACGGCTCCCCTGGCTACCTACTATTCTTTTTTGTCTCGTAAGCATCGTCGTTTATTTGGGTTCATCTTATCTTTTTTGATATCCATCGATACTTGTGCCTATGTACTTCTTTCTTGGTACGCATTGCGGGGGGAGGCGCTGCGTCCTCCCCCCTGCACCCCCCCACCCGCTTCTATTTTCTAATCGGCTCCCCTTGCTACCTACTCTCATTCTTTTTTTCATAAGCATCGTTTATTTGGGTTCATTTTATCTTTCTTAATCTTTCTCAATCTTTCTTCTATAATCTTAATTGTTTTGATAAGCTCCCATGGAAAAATCGAGTAACACCATGGAAAAATCGAGTGAAACCATGGAAAAATCGAGTCAAACTATGGAAAAACCAAGTGAAACCATGAAAAAATAGAGTAAAACAATGGACAAGTCGATGAACAGCGCCAAAATAAATTTTAGCTCCAAAATGCAGCAAATCACAGATTTTAGCTCCAAAATGTAGCAAAACGCAAGGAACAGTGCCCCAGACTAAAAAACAGAAAATATTCACCCCCCCCCCCCAAAAAAAAAATATGCACCCTATATATATATACATATTTATTTGTATACAGATAGTGATATATATATATATACAGATATATATATATATTTATATCTGTAAATATATATAAATAGATATATAGATAAATATATATTGAATAATCTAAGTATTAAAATCACAGGAGACCATAACAGTATAAGCCAACAGCGATACAGCATATCCCCCGCAGCTGCGTCTTATATGCGCCCAGAGGCAGGACTAAATGTATAAAATAAAGCAAGTACGTTTTCACAGGAACATTGCAGCGTCTTCCTTGGCCGCTGACTGCCATGTTCCCCAGCAGCCCCTGTTGAAAGTAGAAATTTTACATCTATTCAGATGGCGCACACACACACACACACACCCTGCCGCAGCAGGGCCGGTTAGATGAAGATGACGCTGAAATGAACATGAACATGAGATGACGAGTCATTTAACCGGGACAAGACGGGGAACGGAAAAGAGGAGAGAAAAGAGCAAACACCAACATCAACACACCTAGCCCAGAACAGGCAAACCCAGAAAAGGCAAAGGGTAAAAAAGGCGAGCGGACGACAGCCAGACCAGAGGGGGGCGGACAGAAGTACCTGACACAACCTACAAGGCGCGAGAGCCGAAACCTACACACAGGAGAGCACACATGAAAAACGGGGACAAATGGGGGACTAGTTAATGAGTGAAACATCCAACTTCCAATGCAGAATTCTTGATCAGGCTCAAAGGCCCTCAGTGGTCGATTCAACCCTATGGACGGTTTAAGCAGTCAACCCTATGAATTGGTCCACAACTGCACCTCACCAGATCAACCGAAAAGGAAGTAACCACACCCGGAAAGCATGTCCTGGAAACCTCCTCATGTATATGCATGACATTCAGCTGACAGTCTCTCGGCCAGCGCTGGAAAAGGAAGGTTTCATCACTGTTCAACGGTGTCCACAGTTGAGGTCAGCATCAAAAGGACGGTAAGCGACAAGCAATGGGTGAAAAGGATTTCAAAAAAGGCCAACAGTTTCACTTTACTTAGACGGTTTACCATAGCCTCGCTTCAGGTTTCGATTCACGGATCCTGCTTACTACCTGGAAAGGCATTCCCTGAGGGGATCATGCCATCTGGTCGAATCCAGCATGAGTAACACACTTGCTTGGAACGTTTTTTCGAATTGTGAAGTTGGAATGCATCGAACGTGCAAAAAACACCAACAAAGATACAATGACGACGACACACACACACAATATATATATATACACATATATACACATATAAAACAATAAGTATTAAAATCACAGGAGACAATGACAGTATAAGCCACCAGCGATACAGTATACGCCCCCCACAGCTGCATCTTATATGCGCCCAGAGGCGGGACTATATGTATATAATAAAGCAGGTACGTTTTCACAGGAACATTGCAGCGTCTTCGTTGGCCGCTGACTGCCATGTTCCCCAGCAGCCCCCTGCTGAAAGTAGACAACTTACATCTATTGAGATGGTACACGCACACGAATTGAGAGAGCCTTATTACAGCCTTCAGAGGATTTTCTACTGTTCAGGTTGTAATTTTTTTTGACATTTTATGATAGCCTCTGAAATCACCACCTCTACACTCGGGAGACCCTAGGTGCAGGCGTATCGCAGTACCTATCGAGGCCAGAAAGGAGATAACGAGACTGGATGATATGTGCTCCTCCTGGCTTCAGTTTTTTTGTAAGAGGTTTGATGTGAATAATCACAACATCGCACGCGTCTTGCAAAATTCTCAGACGCTGTCGCTAGCATTACGATCATTGCAAGTTGGTAGCGGCGACACAACGAATCTGTTGCGCAGGCTGTTGGCCTCTATGTGCCTGGCGGGACAGCCGTGTTGCCTTCCACAGCGTGCTCCCATTCCACTACTATAGGATACTCTAGGGACCTTTCACATCCTTTCCTGATACTGAATCAAACTAATCAAACTCAACTTTTCTCTGAGAACAACAAAGTGCCCGATCTCTGCACGTTCCACAAAAAAATTGAATGCTGTGTCTTTGCGGGGTTTGGGCAATTTTTCTCTTGGTTTGCAGCCTTCTGAAAGGATTCTAGCAGATTCTAGCTGGTTGTCTTTGCGGTATAGATTGTATAGAACATGTATATATACTGTCTCTTCGTACATGCCAGTGTTGGAGACGACCTGCGAGAGCGGCCAGAGCCGCAGGTACATGCTGGCCACACCTGCCAAATTAGCCGGTTGCAAAGAGGCACCGTGTTTTTATTTGACACTTCTCGCTGTGTTTGTCCTACAAACAGGACAGCTGGTCATATTTGTTTGTTCGCCATGTCGGACCATGAGGTATCAACAAGTGAAGACAAGCAATGAGCTTTTCGAGATTAGTTTGACGTTGAAAGTGGGACGTTTCTGCATAGATTGTGCTCGCAACACCACCTCGAGCAGATGGAAGCATTTGCCCAGAGGCAGGATCTGGATGCACACAGCAGCAATCACAAAATGCAGAGACAACACACATCATTCCGGCATTCCATCAGCTGCAAGTCCTACTCTACTGTATCAGGTCCCTCTTGTTCTTTTGAATTTCTGGGATGTTAAACTGTGAGTGTTGTGAGTCTGTTGTGCTGAGAAACGAAAATGAACAAAGCCAATGCCGCAGACACATTCGCGAGGTGATCTATGCAGCCAAGCGAGCAGGTGCCACAAAGATCTTGAAGGCTGGTGGCGCTCAAGCGATCGTGGGGTCCCCAAGGCGCCAGACCTGCCCAGGATTGGCAGTTGCCACAGGGCAAATGTATGGATCATTCATGATCATTCTATATACATGTGTGGTGTGTGGGGTATTGTGAATCTTGTTCTGATTTCGGCTAGAAACCAGGTCGGACATTTCCACAAAGTTTGATATGATCGAGTATTCCACCTCTGGCAGTCCTGCCTTTTGCAATCAAAGAGTATGCACTGTCAGACCTCAGGAAAAGAGTTTAACTTTCTTCTCAATCGTCCCTCAGTTCGTCCAGAACTATTTTCTTGGGTCCTGCTGTCAACTGCTGTCAAATCTGCCGATGAATCCCTGTTTGTTTGACGACTTTAGTTCTGCTGAGGCGGCCATGGCATTTGGCACCAAGAGCTGCCCGAAGGCGCCTTGTTGACACGGGCACGGGCCAGGCGGCCAGAAAAGGGGGGCAATGTGCCTGCACATCATCTGGCGATGGTTGTTGACAGGTGCACAAGATCACAGGTCCAGGCAACCAGTACGTGACTGCAGCAAAGATGATGCTTCAGGCAAACGATGAGGCCCGGCCCACACCTTTTCTCGAGATGTGATCTCTTTGATGTTCCTAGATTTTGTTGTCTCATGTCTTGGTCCGATTCGTTGATTCACTGCAACATTGAAAGGCCTCGGGAAGCCGAAAGAAATGTCATTCATAGTGTGAAGTGTGAAGCATTGGAGCTCGGATAGGCTGCCGTGTCCATTGACATGCCAGCTGGCCCATCAGAGCAGCTTTGCAATGGCCTCAAAATGCTGAATCAGACTGTCCCTTTGATGGGCACCAAAGTTCACTAAAGTGCAGTAAACACAGGCTACTGATGACAATGGTAGGGTTCAAACACATAGTTCAATTGTTGCATTGAGTTTTTGAGTGGACCAGCTTGATGGATTTGATGGCCAAGTCGTTGAGACGGCTTCGCTCAGGCATTTTTGATGCTACCAGCGATCCGGCCTTTGTGGTTGCAGACTTGCTGTCACAGGTCCTGACTGGATACTACTGCAATGGGGTTTGAGACTTCCTCACATGAACCATGTTGGGAATGAGGATGACAAATTACATCAAATTACTCAATAAGTACTGTAGACCTCAATGATCCTTAGGAGTCTGGACTGATGCTGAATCAAGATGAGGCATCGCAATTCTGCCTCTCTCAGTCACACATTTCACTACTTAAGAAATCTTTGCATAGCTTTTAAGTTCTGGAACATTCTTGCGAAAATACGACCTTTTCGTGAGATCCAGTCCTTCGGCGTCGTTCTCCTTCGGTCCTGTCGCCGTGTGGTTGGTACTGACTATATTTGGTAGAGCATACTTTGGTACGAGGTTCTAAGAGGTTCTTAGAGGTTGTAAGAGGTTCTCAGAGGTTCCTGCTTAGCTCGGAGTCTCAGAGTCTCTAGGCCTTAAAGGCTGTTAGAGTCCATCAATGCCACACAGCTCTTGCTATTTCTTTCGTAGAACTGTGCGACGCTTGTGGCTACGTGCATTGTGCGACTGTGTTGACCACAGAGATGGCCCCAAACACAGTATGATTCCTCTTGGCCTGAATGCTTCGAGAGGAGCGTGTGCTTGCATCGGCCGTATTTGTTTAGTTCGTGGGAGAGTGCAGTGCAGTAGTGAGGCATTACTCTCACTGACAAAATGTTGTTAGTGACTGTTGGCTTGGCATCGCATCTGGGTTGGATGACCTTGCAACTCAATAGCTTTGTCTTTTGCGAGCTTCCGTCCCCAGCTTTTCGATACCGGCTTGTGACAGTTCCTGATGTTATTCTTCCTGTGTATCAACGTGCACAAGTTGTGGTTGCACTAAGTGTGCTGCAGAGTGCTTTCAAGTCTTGAGTGTTTGCGAGTTCTGGACAGGCGGAGCACGGCCCTGACTCCCAAGTGGTCGGTGCTCGCACTCAGATGCAAAGACATGATGAAGACATGAGGCTCCCTGACTTCAGAGCCATGGCTCCACTGCTTCTAAAATTCTGTGAAATTGTAAAGGCATGTTGTCAATACAGACTTCATTTGTCTTCCGCTCCAGAGTTGTTCAGTGCCTTTCATTCGAGCAGGCACATGAGTCAGCTTCAACTGCCACATCCACTTAAGTTCGTGTTCATTCTCAGGTGTTTTTGTGAATCCTTCAGGCAGGCAAATGTGGGGGGTGACTGACACCCACAAAAAAGGTGCACTTCTGATGCAGTCTCAATCCAGTACTAGCTCTAAAATTGGCAACCTTTCATTAATCCAAGAATCTAGGAGAGGGAGGTCAGGCATGTGTTTTGATTCAGGAGAATATGTGACTGAGACCTTGCTATGCCGTAACAATTCCTTTTTGCAACCTTACACTCAGAATCTTATCAATTCCAATACTGGCAATGTGGGCAGACCAGTTGTGACGCTAGGGGATGCCCACGGCTACATGGGAAGACTACGAGAAGAGTTTGAGCAGCAGACCAGCAAGCTGTCGCGAAGGGAGATCACCAAGGCAGCTCAGTTGATCTTCCAATCTTGACGCAGATCGATGAATTTTGACAAACACAACACAAACCAGGAACTAGCTAAACATAACTAAACGATATATCAATGTAATTTCAATGTATATCATTGTCATGGTATATCGGTGTATCTGAGTTTGGCTTGCTGCAAAGCATATGACAGTTCGGTCACGAGTGTGCAATCCACACGCATTTTTCCATGATTTTTCAAGGATAAGATGGATAAGGAAAAATAATGTGAATGGAGCAGAGGCAGCAGAGGCATACGCCAAGTCGCCCTCAAAAGTCCTTTCCACGCTCCTTTGGCTCCTTTGTTGCACAGCTTTGCCAAACCTCGCAGCAAGCTTTGAGCAAAAGCTTTGTCATCGTGGTGAAGTCCCTGGATGCTGCGATGAGCTTCTCGAATGGGTGCCACATGCAGGACTTATATAGATGGCGGACTTAGTATAACACTTAGTATGAAGGAAACCGACGGATACCGACGGAAACACACTGTTCCTGAGGCTGAAAACATGCTCAGAACCGAGATCTTTTGTAGCGTGTTTGAATCACGGCTTTAGGTTTGAAAAAGGAGTTTGTGGCCGTTTAGATTGGTAGAGCGTAAACCGATGCAAGGCTAAGGTAAGGTGGCTAAAGAACTTGAGTTCTGACCACGACCTTCAATTGGGCGCATAGACAACTCAGCTCTCTTCTTCTGACATATGATGAGGACAGACGTGCAGTCATGCAATGACCTTGATGCACAGCCTCCAACATCGATCCCACAGGTACGGCCCTGAACATCTCGTGGTTCAGGCGGCAAATCCAGAGGCTTGCCCGGCTTCCCCGGCTTGCCCAGAAGTTGCAGCCGTGGATTTGCGATCAATGAGCGCCCAGAGCTTCCATTGTTTCATGATTCATAGTCTGAATTCTCCCCGCAGCGTATTGGGATGTGATACGTAACAATTTCAGGCATTCCGGGGTTCGTATGCGTTCAAAAGACAATTTGTTTTTGATTGGAAGAGCTCTTTAATGTGACCCGATCAATGAAGCTTCATCAGCAAACTTTGAAAGACTTCAAAGTAAGTATCGGATGTATCGATTCAAGTCCATTGCTTGCCATTGCTTGGCATTGCTTGGCAGCAGTAGCTTTGATTTGGGCATGGATTGCGATGACAACGCAGCCTTAGAAGCTGCCAATCTCGCCAGGCATACCTAGAGAAAGTTGTCAATGCAGGCTCTGTCTTTATGGGTCCGGAGACCTGGTTGCGCAATTCTCCAAGAGGCTCCTTGTACCAACTTACTTCGACTTCCAACTTCCAGCGTTCACCATTCAGGTTTAATTCATTGAGTCATTCCGCCTTGCTTCCTACATCTTCCTATCGGAGTCACAGGTTCATTTCATACAATACTTCTGAATGAATGTGTCTTGCGTGTCACGTCTGCTCAAATGTATTCAGAGCAAAAAGAGTTGGTGGACTTTCCTGATGTCCAGCAATGTCCATGTCTGCCGAATGGCTGCCGAGGCGCCTATGCGCCAGAGAGCTGCGGAGACTATGCTAGTGGCACCAATCATTGCACGGCTCTCAGAGGCTCTGAGTTGGTCCTATTGTGCTCCTACCTCTCCTACTTGGTCCTACCTGCTGCTAGTCACTGAAGCAAAAACTTATTGGCAGAATTTAGCTTGCCCAATGCTCCTCATTCTCATGAATGACTCATGAATGTAAATGGGCGCAAGTTGTAAGTTTTCATTCCTGGAAATCTGCAATCGGTTTCGGACCATGATTCAACAGCCGGGCGAACCTGCGCGGCTTGTGGGCCTACTAAGGTTTGCCTACTAGTGGCTATGCCAGACAGTTTGGTGGTGTGTCAACAGACACGTGCGCACAGAAGGGAACGGAAGACTAGGGTCAGTTCATGTGGTTGGCGTTTCCGTAGAAGAGGGTAAAGAAAGGTGTGCGCATGGTGGGAATTGTTTGGATATTTTCATACTTTCAGAAGGCAGACCGAACAAACCAAATTGGTGGGGAAAGGAAGGCCGCTTTTGAACCGTATACCGTAGGACCAGGTAGATCGAACCATTTCCACTTCAATTCAGCGTAACGTTTGCAGTGCATCAATGTACTCAGAAGGTTGACAAAATTGGATTGGATTCAGTCACACTTTTAACATGTCTTTCACTTCCAGATGGCCGAAAGGTACATAAAGTATGTCACTGTGCAAAAGCTCACAGCTGCCGGATTGAAGCGAGTAGGACCTCATGTTGAGGCGGACTGTGCGCATTTTTGCGGATGGTATTTGAGGATGCAGTCCAGCGTCAGCAATGAATCGCTTTTTGCATTCAGCGCCTGTTCCAAAGTCTCGCACCGAAGACTCAACTTCTCAAAAGTTTTCTTCAATGTTCCGCGGAAGCCATGACTTTTGAGGCTGACCGTAGAGCTGAACTAGACACACTCGTCTTCCTACATGATTTCCATTGTGAATAGGAACCTTCCGGGGGTGCTCGAGGTCATCGCAGATGTGGAAGAATTGGAAGCTCACAGGCGCCTAGTTCTTTTATTTATTTTCAAGACAAAACTTGACACTGCTCACACCTGTTGAATCTGTTGCTGTATCTTGGAATTTGATGAATTTGGACTTTTCCTCGCACCGAGTTGGGTTTGACCTTGGGAAAGAGTGTTCAATAACAGTCATTTGTCCAGCGAGAGCTTCGGTGCTTAGCACTTTGCACGGCTGCCGCTTCCGCTCCGAGATTTTCACTTCATCTTGCACACGGCTCGCGTATGTATACAGTATACATGTATGAGCCTATGGCGTCATTGGCGACCTGGGGCAAAACCTACATTTTGAGAGAGATCTTGAGTCGGTGAGGGAGTCAGGTGGGATGGGGTGGGGCAACCCATGTTCACTTGCACACGCAATTGATGCTCCGCTGATGATGGGGTAGTCGTGTGGGGTGGGGTCGGTGTGGTGGAGCAGTGACGTTCATTCTCGCTTGTACACGAAACTAATGCTACGCTGATGATGCTACGCAAAAACCAAAACCAAAAAAGCGTGCCCGGAAGCACTGGTGGAATCTCCTACGCATAGTTTAAATACCAATACGAAACATTACAAAACCATATTTTCACTGCCCTGAGGCTCCGGCATGGAACTACGTTTCACATTTTCTCAATCGTCATTCATCACCCTTGCCAGTACCTTGATTTTCATACAGTTGGACTTTTCAACATGCTAACCGCTGTGGGTCGTCAATGACACCTTAGCCATGTATCATATACGTATGATATCGTATGATTATAGTGCATATACGGTACACATATACATGGTAGTACTTGCATATCAGCACACAAAGCTGCAGTATATATGTATATATATATATATATAGATAATTGATTGTATGCATTCTAATTACATGATACATTCATACAGTACACTACTGTACAAATTTATATACGTAGACTCATAAAGGATAAACATAGATCCTACATACAATGACTACGTATGATACCTAAAATGTAATTTTACAATAGACACATACACTATATTCGCCCCTCTGGCTGCAATCCGGCAAGGAATGCCGTGACCATTCGGCTGGCAAAGATTGGCAGAGTCTGATCCTTTGTGCTTTGAATCTTGCACTGTGCCTGTCCAGTTGCTTAGGCAATTTGAATGCTTCGCTAGAGATTGGATGAAGCATGACCTTTTAAAAGGTTGCAGTGCAATTGGAAAGTATGAGATTGACGTCGATGGACCCATATTGACGCTTTTGATATCAAGGAGTGTATACTGTGTGGAAACTGTCCACAGCTACCCAGATTCTATTCAAGTGAAGCTAGCACCATTTAAAAACACACACAAAAAAACATGCACAAATCTATGAGTCTTTAGCTGCCATACCGCACTGTGCCTATGATGCTTCTGATCCGTGAGAGACATTCTGAGGAACTCTCTTGGCTTGACAAACTTGGAGCTCTTTGCCGCTTTTGCTGAGTACTCAATGAGTACATGGGCCCAGAGCCAGCAGAAACATGCAAAAACTGGGACTTGACTACTTGTGACTCAAAGAAACCTATCATTTTACATCATTCTTTCATACCCACAGAATATATTTCCCTACGAATTGCAACCATAGGCTTCAACATGAAGAAATTGTTTCAATGTGGAACCCATGTTTTGATTTGACACCACATTTTTCTGGTTGTTGAATTCTGAGACTTTGGGTCCATAGCACAAGTTCGAGGCTACAGGTGAAAGCACCTCTTGTTTGCGCGGCTTCCGAAATGGCTAGACATAGTGACTTTGATTTCAAGATTATTGGATCCATTTGGACCTACTGTACTATTTGCTGTCTGCCAGTGCACCGAAAGTTGCCAAGAAGTGGAGACCTCTGACAAAGCTGCACAATCAATCTTTACTGCCCTGGCACCTGCGCAACAAGAGAATCTCTCAGATTGTTGGTGTTTGGGCAATCTTGAAATTGGACAACAAATTGAGCAATGCCTTTTGACCAATATCTTTGCTTTGACGCCAAGCCTTTCGGTCGCAAAGCTCACACCGAAGTGTTTTTGCGCATCATTTTCCGAAGGTTCACCCGTGGAGCGGAGCTGGCCTTCAGATGTGAAAGCTTATCTGAAGAACCTCGCACCACCGCTCTCAAAACCACCCAAACATACCCAAACTATACTATGAATCAAGCTTTTCAAACCCACCTACACCCAGTCTGGCCACACGGAGGCTCACTGGCGTGTCTAAGGTGTCAGCAGTATGAGCAGCTTACCCACCTTCATCGCTACATTTAAAAAGTCTCAGCAGCACTCTATTCGTTTTTTCGAGCTGAGCAGAGCTCGCCTCTCCGCAATTCCTTGATTAACAGATATTAACAGTCTCTTGAACGCTAGGCAAAGTGCAGGGAGACGCACATACGCACACACACACAGACTGGACAGGACCGCAACGGCTTTCTCTATTGTTTTATACACCTCCAGGAGCACGTGATGTCTAAAATTTAGACCCTCCACTGCCAGTACAATTCTAATCCATCGGGAGTTTGACAAGCAAGATTGAATAGCTCAATGTAAGTTTCAGACGATAGAATTTACAAGCACTCTGTGAAGGGCTTGCAGATGAAAACATTCCAGTCATTTTCATTTGGCCTTCGCCGGCCAATCATGTGGGTCTCCCTGCTCGTTGCGTCGTCGTACCTTGTAGGCATGTCAAGTCTGCATGGCAAAAAGAGCTTTGACACGTTGAGAGATGATATCAGCTTTCTCGCCATGTTTAAGGAAGTCTGGTTCCACTGATATTTATGTCGATCGTTGAGTTTTGATGAGAACATACCACCAAGACTATTAAATAGTGGAACATGTTTGTGGCACAGATATCAGAGAATGCCAAGAATGACGCGGAACGGTTTGTAGCTTGGACTCTTGTCATGCCATAAACAGCGCAGAAGAAATTTGAGACATGAAGACTTCGTGGGACTGGGATCTGTCGTTGAGACTCAAAAGCGGGCATCCTTTTTTTCAACTAGCTATGGCGGAGACGGCCTTTGTCCCACCGCTACAGTACTGACCTCAGCATCAGAGGCAATTCGGAACATCATGAAACATGTTACTGTTACAGTCTTGTGAAGCATCTCGAAGCTGTAAGAGTTGATGTGTGGTAGAGAAGGACAGGCAAATGTATCGCAGAAGGCCGATGATTTTGCTGCTGACCGCACATAGCAAGAACAGCAGCCGGGCAACGGGGAACTGTCAGTCATTTGATGCTTGCTGTTTGATTTGATGTGGTGCCATGGTGTACCACACAATGTGAACCATGCTGTCAGTCTAGAAGCTGTTTATATTGAGAACTTGTTGCTCTCCATGTCAATGCGAGTCTCCAAATTCGAAAAGTTCAAAACCATTCGGAAACAGAGTGCTAGTGCTGCTAGTTCTGCTAGAAACTGCTTGAAGCTCCAAGAAGCTCCAAGAAGCTCCAAGAAGCTCCAAGAAGCTCCAAGGCCCACCACTGCGAGCTCTTCATCGAGCAGGCGCCTGGAATAACACGCTTGTGCTACTGTGGCCCTCGTTCGCAGGTCTTCGCAAAGGACACAAAGCCCCAAACGTTTTGTGGAAAGTGTCTTTTTAGATCTTATTTGTGTCAAGATGATGGGAGGCGGCGGTTGGATCTAGTGGATTCCAGTGGTTGACTAGGTAGCTGTCCTGTGAAGTGACTTGTGATGCAGTTGCTTGGCTGGAACCCTTCCAGAAGACCAACGGACCTTCTATGATATATACATTTTCTGGTTCATTTGCAACAGACATGTTTTTGACATTAGCTCCTGTATGCAATGTTTCGCAGAAATCGGAAGATGTCTTTGCATCTGGGCACTTGTCAGACTCCTGGGGCACAGGGCGAAGACGCCTTGGCGGCCTGAGACACAGGAGCCGGCAGCAACGTGCCGCAGAGTGCATTTATCTGGGAGTCCTTGGAGATACATCTGACATCTCCAAACATCTCTTGACACCTCTTGACACGTCTTGACATCTCTTGACAAATGTGCCTAGCTTGTACTTCGTGCTGTGGAAAAGGGCAGGAGCCTTGGTCGCTGTACAATCCACTGGGTCACTGTTGTTTCGAGAGAGGATCGACATTTGCCGCTCTTTGTACTCTCCTCGCGATGTGCTTGACACAGCTCCAGGAGCCTTTCACTTACTCGAGACGTTGGGCTCCCTTTGTTGCACCAGGTCCAGACGATGGAGTGATGTAAGAATCTATTCTCCTAGACTTGGTCTTGAACAGCTTGAAACAAATGCATCAGTTAGACTATGGCTCTTAAATAGAACGCCTGAGTTGGTTTCGAGAGCTGAAGAAGCGCGTGTGATTAATGTGTGATTCCCTAAGAAAATTCTATGGCCAGGTGCCTGCGTCTCAGCAGCTTTATCTCGCCGACACCAGCGACGGGCGACGGCGCAGGCTTTACGGAGCAGTAATTGAACTCTGTCTTATTTCAATTGGGGAGCTTACGTATGTGTGCTGAATGTCAGTCTGTTATGTAGAATCTCGACAATTGATTCCATTTCACCGAAACATAAAATAAAGTCTTGCTTTTCTCCACCTGAACTCAACCACTGACGATTCCTTGGATGCACATCCAAGTTAGACATAGTTGGACCCTCCAGTAATTCAAATAGTTTCAAATCTTGCCACTCAAACATCAAGGAGATATTTGTGGACGGTTGCCCTACTTTGCAATTATCATCTTCGGGTGGGCTGAATTTACAGCAAAATCTCGCGCGATCGCTGACCCCGGCTTTAACATGTTTTCTTTGAAATGTCTCGTTTGGACAAAAGTGTGATGTGGATACACAATGATACACATTCATTTCTTGTATAGGTAGCGACGAGTAGCTCCCCCACAAGCCCCACACGCAACTTGGACCGCTAATTTCTATTGCTGCATTGACCTGGCTATGTCGGCTATGTCATCATTTGGAGATCACTGGATTCATCTGGATTCTAGATTTATCTTTTTTTGGATTCCAAGACACTGCTTTCCCCTTTCACTTCCCCATTGTCCTGCCAAGCTCAAAACCAGTGCTGAGGCTGGAGAAAGCTGCCATGTTGGGGCATAGCGATACTGGGGTTTGCTTTGGCCACAGCACCTAGCTGGTTACAGACTTGATATGACTTGATATTTGTTGATGCTTGATGTTTCTATCTCCGCGGCCATGTGGAGATCAGTTGGACTCGCTTGAGGGCCTGACTGCAGGGCTCGCTGCCAGGAGTGCTCTTGGTGACAGGGATCTGTTTTAAGCCAGTATTTTGATTGTAGCTCAAGGCATGCAAGAAAACTGGAAACGTGATTGAGTTTCTTGATGTTCCTTCCCACGGATCCATACTCCCTAGGAATGATAGAACTGATGAGTGCCAGTTTACATCGTGTCAAATATGAGATACTTTCAAAACCTGCCAAGGTTTTGGTTCATCGCGTGGTCTTGAAGGAGTTCAGGCATCACCTCGCTGATCAAGATGCAGTTGAAACTTATTGCTCACGTGATTTTATGTATGTTTGCCCATGTCCGAAGTTCATCTTCAACTATGAAGATGTTTTGGTCAGCAGGGCCTGTTTGTGTCATGACAAAACGTGAAATGATCATTTGACTCGCTGAACAACTCGGTTTACTGATAGTCTCAGCTCGAGACCTTGACTTCGTGACCAGGTTTGAACGAAGGTCTGAATACGTTTGAAATATCAGGGGCTGAAACATGTCGGTTCTTTCTTAACAATCAGCCGAATCCTTCGAAATCTGGATCTCTGGACGCAGCCTTGCCAGGCTTCAACTGCCACCTCCACGCTTTACAGTCTTCTTGCATGCAGCGTTCTTTCTCATTCTGAGTGCTTTGGCACACCAACGCCAAGAGCATTTTCAAGTTGCAAAGCGCACAGGGGTGACATCTTGGCTAGATTGACCTCTATTCCTCAAGAGCGTTTTTGCACAGGACAGCGAACTGAGTCATGCAATGGGGGTTTTCATCAAAAGCTCGAATAGAAAAGTTGCTGTTTTTACTGGTCACCTGACCCAGTTAGTTCATACCAGTTCTGTGCCCAATCGCTATATTCATTTCTTCCTGTTTTCTCCCTGAGATGCATTTGGTTTCGTGAGGTCAATTGCTGCCACCAAGCAAGTATCCTGAAGAGCAGAATGTGAAGCTCGTGCTTCTGGTGGCCGGGAACTCTACATCTTCTGAATTCACCGCTTCCATATGATATGCGTTAATAGCTGAGGTCCTTTTGAGTGGGTTAAGACAGGGGTTATGATGAGTACTATATTTTGATGTCAATAGCCACAATTTACCACTTAGTAAAGCAGGTCTGCAGCAATCGCTGCAGACTGATCAAGCAAGCTCTGTCGCACGCAACATTTTGGCGAAGTTGCGATGCAACAATTCCCTGTCCTGACTGCGATCAGAACCAAAAGATATCAAAAGTAATTTTGCACTTTTCAACGTGATGGCTTAAAGAGTATGTCCCTGCTAGACTCGCTACAAGCAATTTGCTCCAAGATCAACAATGAATGAACTTTGCAAGTACTACATATTTCTCCACAAGTGATCCCACCTGATTTTGTAAAGGCATGCGTTGCTGCATAGTGCAATAATTTCGCTACACGTCACAGCATTGAATACATCCAATACACAACAATACACACTATTTCTGAAATATTTACCAAAGATCCTCACTCTCCGCTTCAAGCAGTAAAAGCCGACTGCTACACCCCTCAGGGTGTCGTTGAATTCTTTGGCTGGGCTGCTCTTCAACAAGTTGCAGTGGTGCCTTGTTTTGCAACTGGAAACAGATGCTAGAAGGGCGTAGACTCCAAGACAACTTTCGAACAAAATCACATTTGCAGTATGCTCAGAGCCGCTCGTATTGCCCTGCCACACTGCCACATATGCATACATTAAATCGTTCTACTCTAAAATAACACTCCTGGATGTTTTGCTAAAGCCCATGACTTTATTGTATGCAATTTTGTGGGCGGTGAAGATTTGCGGTATTCGTAGCAGATTGGATATATAGGCTTCCGCATTTACAAAGTGTTCCATTTTGCGCTTCTGTAGATCTTGGCTTGACACTAAACCTCAATCTGAATTAAGCCAGTGTCACTTCTCTCCAATTATATCAAACTGGGCTGCTGGTATGGGCTGTTGCTATTTCTTGTTATAACAGTTGTAGTCCTTGCTGGCTTCGCAACACATACAGAAAGCATTTTCCGATTTCTTTGACATATCTCGGATGTATCAAATGACAAAGCAAATGGTTTCATGCACATTGTGCAGCCTCCATCAGGCTGGCGGTCTTGGCAGGGTTGCTCAGGAGTTTGGTGGACAGGGCCAACGTTAACTTTGGCGCTCCCAGGCATTCCAGAGTGCCGCGCGATTGTTTTTCTTGGGCTGACAAAGCCGCGCTTTTCAACAAAGCCATTGTGGCATGATTTTTGGCATCATATTTGCAGATTGCTGAATGCTTCTGAGGTGTATCAGCCGCTCTTCTCTCTGGTGTCTCCTTGGTGCGGTTGCCCAGACTTATTGGTAAGCTGAGTTATCGTACAGAGTCGATATGCTTGAACAGTTTATATATACGTATATATATAATTATATTATATATAGAGAGCTTAAAAATTATACATTGATATACCACAGGATTTTCTGCTGGCAGTGGGAGCGTGAACATTTGACTTCGCTAGGTTTAGCTGATTTTAACCCCCAAAATGCCTGACATCTTAGGACAATATCCGTTTTTCCCAATTAGATTATTTCATTGTGATTTGATCTACTTCTGACCACCGCCCGTGTCTCAGCTGGTGACGCTGGCGAGTGCACAGCTGTTGCTCCAAAGCCGGGTCAAAACCTCTGCCTGGATTGGTGCTGTGCAGCTCGGCAAAATTTCAGAGGCAGCAAGCAGGCAGATAGCAATGTATTGCAACCGATTGCAAGAGATTGCAACGCACACAAGTTCTGAACAGGAATTCCTAAACAAGGATTGCAGCATAACGCTGTCTTTGAAGGCTGGTGATGCAATTCATGCCGGCAGCAACAGACAGCAACCTGTTGGTATTTGTCTTGACATGGGGCAGAACTTCAACATCCCGCCAATTGGTAAGATGAACATCCCGACATGTCCTACTCTGTTCATCTCTGTTCCGGTTTTCGGCTGTGATTCAGGATGCCAGGGTTTTGATCCGCAGCTATCTGTCCATATCTGTGTTCGTATCAACCTGATCATGCAACATCTTTGGAACCTGTGCAAGAATAGCAACCTCAACTCCACTGCTCCAGCAAGCATGTGGAAGACCTTCGTACAGCTTTGGAAGAGTGGACACAATCTATCAGGTCCAAGACTCTTCCAGCAAGTTGTTCCTTCGTGACAAAACCTCTGACACTGTCAGACATCTTCGTCTGCCTTGTCTCCCCAAGGATTATGGCAGCTGGAGTTGGAGCAGCTGGGCCTGTCCATGCTCTGCCACAGCCGCAGATCACCGCAGATCTCGTAGATTCTCATTGAATTTGGACGGCTTGAACGCTGACAGAATTGAACACCTTGCGGTTTCGAAACTCTGAATGTCTAGCATACCCGTATATCTGCCATATAATAACACCGGATCCGGACCAACCATGAAGAAGCCTTGTTTTGAAATGGTGTCTTCCACGCCCCTGCAACCAGAGCAAGAATGGGTTGGATTCTACAAGGGCAAGGAGATGGGTCTTCGCAAGACCATCTTCCTTTCCTGTTACAGATTTTGGCAGTCTGTTTGGGACCATTACAGCTGAGGTCTTCTGTGTCTTCGCACCCTGCTGAAATGGGACTACTCTGTGGTCAACTTAATTTGACGCATGGATCACACACACACACACAGTATATATATATATACGTACAAGGAGTGTGCTGTTTTGCAGGGCAGGGCAAGGATTTGGGTATTGGCTTACAAACAAGGTCAAGACGTCGTTAATGACCTGTGTATATAATTCTGGCATTCGTTCAAACGTTTTCTAACATGAAGATGCACCAGAAGCACGCGCAGATCAATACTGAACCTTTTGTCATGTCCTGGAAGCCGAGTCCCCCAAGGCTTTCCAAAGACAGCCTTTACTTTGATGTTTTTGCGCCATTGGAACGCAAAGACATAATCCCACATTCTGTGGTTCAAAGATCTCTTTGATACATCTTTGCCCCCTATTTGCCTAGGAATGAATTGCTTTAAGTCACCCCAAACTTGAGTTCCAAGAACAAGTTAAGAGCGTAGCATCAAAAGCGTGTTGGAAGTTCCAAGAGCAAGTTCAGAGCGTAGCACCAAGAGCGTGTTTGAAGACTCATAAAAGTAATCACAGGCGAATGAACGTAATGCGTAGCCCACCCCACCCCACTCCATTCCACCCCACCCCATGCATGCACAACGCAACATAATTTGTGAGACGGCAATAATTCAGTCAGAAAAACATGTTGTGTCCAGAAATATCGCAAAAACGCATGTTTCGTCCAGGTCGTCATCAGCACAAACAACCCAACCGCTTCTGTTTCTGTTTGCCTTGTGCATTTCAGTTACATGCACTCTGGAGAAAGTTTCCAGGTGCTGCTCTCGCTACCACGAGTTTGGCGCTTACTGGCAAAGAGGCCCGTTGATTTCGCTGCACGCCAGTGATCCTAAAAGAGGCGGATTGGATAAGTTCATTCCTATCTTCAAGTTCAAGATCTATGGATGTAGCCCGAAGAAATAGAACAATCTGTTGTCGGGAAGATTTGAGCACCCTTGGCCCTGCAGTCGAGAAGCGTTGGTTTAGATGAAAGGTTCTATTTTCTGGCCGAGCACCACTTTCGGTGGCTTCTGCCACTAAGCTCTGAGAAGCGGGCCAGGGTGTAACCCGTGGAAGATTTGACATCAAATCGAAACTGCAATCTGCTGCATGCGATGATCACATGTGGCCCATTTCCCATAGACTTGCGTAGACGCTGATCGCTATATGATACTGTTGACAGCTGATTGCTTTGATCAAGAGCATACCAACGGTTGTGCAGGTATTGCAGTGGCACCAATGGTTCAGTCAAGTTTCATGCAGGAACTTGGATTGAACGGATCATACTTATCCACCGAGCCACATTCTGTCGATGCCCTCCGTTTCTCATTTTTTCCTGCTAATATTCATAGCAGACTAACAGCTACATTTGTATACTACAAATGTAATAATAATAACAATAATAATAATATATGCATATACACACATACTCACATACTATATACATACATATGTTACATATAGTACATTTATAACACAGTGCATTGTAATGTAATGGAACGTAGTGTGAATGTGTATGTGAATGTGAGCGTGAATGTAATGCAATGTAATGTAACGTAATGCAATGCAACGTAATGTAAGGTAATGTATTTAAGTGTGCCCGCGTTTGTTTGGATGCAAAGTGAGAGTAGTCGGTGCTGGCAGTGCCAAATTGGAACAAATTTAGGGAGATTTAGAGACATGTCAAAGGATTGAGAGCAAATTTCATTTCGCCTAGCAGAGAAGACAGGCTTCAGCTGTATTCCTGTGCCTTTTTACGTGTCCAGTCTCTGTCTCGAATATCTGAGGTAGGTATACAGTCCTCCACTTGTTTGAAAGGCGCTTCTCTCTACTCTAGCCATCCCGGTTTTCAATTTTGACCACTATTTGACTTGAGATTGCTTCGTTTCTGCTTATGTTATTCTGGAACTTCGCACAAAAGTCTTACTTGTGTGAACTGTCAATCCATTTCTGTAGAATATATATACATACATACATACATACATACATACATACATACATACATACATACATCAAACTAGTCTACCAAAAGACTGGACACCTTTGTGAAACCGACTTGATGATTTTCTGCTTATGTTCTAAGGAAGCTTAGAAGTCAAACTTCCAACTATATGGGCCGATTGAAAAGTAGAGGTGACAGCAGTCAGAGAAGAGAAAAAGTCAGAAGAGAAGAAGTCACAAGAGAAAGAGTCAGAAGAAAGAAGATCCAGGTGCGCGAAAAGGTAGAAACGTCGCAAAACACTGTGTTTTTCCAATGATTTGTTGCCCTGGAGGGTCGAAAAGTAGGCTCGCTAAAGCGGCGGGTGCGGAGCCATCTGGGGAGATGAGAGATGAACAATTGCACGCCGTTGTGGCGCGAAGCACATTTGGAAGTCAAAATGCTGAAAGCGCCTCATTGTCGGAGCACTTTTGGAAGTTCAGGCGTCGAAAAAGTGCAGGGCTCTGTGGCGCGAAGCACATTTCCAAGGGAAAACGCTAAAAACACCAGATGTTCGGAGTGCTTTTGGAAATTGAGATGCTCAAAAAGTGCATGTTGTTGTGGCGCGAAGCAAATTTCCAAGTCAAAATGCACAAAAAGCACATTGGGAACATTTTTGGAACCTGCGATGTTCAAAAGGTGCACGCCGTTGTAGCGCGAAGCACATTTCCAAGTCAAAATGCGCAGAACGCCTCAGCTTCGGAACACTTTTGGAAGTTCAGATGCCGAAAAAGTGCACGCCGTTGTGGCGCGAACCGCATTTCGAAGTCAAAAGTGTTAAAGCTGGCGGTCCGGGGGCACTTTTTGAGTTTAGGATGCGGTTCTGCGTGGCAGGCGCAATGGATTCTGCACGTTGTGTGTGGGTTTTGCAGCAGTTGGAAAACGATGGCGGGCGTGGGCGTTTGAAGAGGATCTGCAAAGATGCATTTTCCGTGGCAGGCGCAGTACAAAAGACATGTTTATGAGAGATGTTAGGAGGTCAGGGCGCTCATTTCCTGAGAGGGGTTGCATTTTGGAGCATCAGATCTTCAGGTTTGCTAAGATGATTTTGCGTGACAGGTGCAGCACTTTGTATGACTTGGCATCACTTTTTCGTGGTAGGCGCAGTCCTTTAGACAGATAGAGTGGAAAAAACACAAAACGTATTGGCACGAGGCCATTAGCTCTGCGTCAGCTTCCCGTGTTTGAAGGAAGTCTCGCAGAATTGCTTCGCTTTTGATGTTGTCAAGTTCGAAAATTAAGGACATCTCGCAGAATTGCTGCGTTTTTGATGTCGTCAACTTCTAAATTTGAAGGAGGTCTCGCAGAAAAGCTTCGTTTTTCAGCTTACATCTCCAGATTGCAAGCCAGTCACACGGAATAACTTCTGTTTCAAATTGCAGAGACAGATCGACAGATAGATAGATAGATAGGTAGGTAGGTAGGTAGATAGATAGATAGACCAGTAGATAGACAGGTAGATAGACAGACAGACAGACAGGCAGGCAAGCAGGCAGGCAGACAGACAGACAGGCAGGCAGGCAGGCAGACATTGAAAGAAAGAAAGACAGAAAGAAAGAAAGAAAGAAAGATAGATAGATAGACATATTGAAAGAAAGATAGATCGCCCGACACTCCAACCACCTTATGATCCATCAGTGGACTCGCTCTGCCATCCATTCATCACAACAAATCACCTCTTCTATAGTTTCCTATCTTTGAAACTTCCGCCGCCGCTTTGTGCGGTACTACTGGTACTGATGTTTTTTCTTTCTGCACGTCCTCACTTCTTGGAGCTCCTTAGTGCTTTCCCGCCACCAAGGTGGCTTCTCTGGCATCCTTTGCACAACTTTTTGCGCTGGCCCTACCAGAGGCGGCGCGTGGACCATCCATGACACATGTCAACACAGTAAATCCATTTAACAACATGTGAATAAATCCGGTATTTGGACACCGAACACTTTCTGACATTGCAGGCATTCAGCAGTATGTTTGAAAGTTCTTCCGTGTGTGCAATTCTGAATGAGATCCAGCACCGGACATGTGGTGGCTTCCGTACTATCGTCTGTGTACAGGACATGCTTCGTTGTGTTTGTGTCGCAACTTTGACCAGCCAGATCATGCGACTGCATAGCTTTCCTGGCACCTTGCAGCTGGCACAGATCATCATGGGTCCAGCCCCAAGGTGCCCGGACTTTATGCCTTTTCAGCATTGCATTGCGTTGCATCATATTGTGTCTCTGTTGCAGCTTGAACCCTGGAACTGATTTCAAAAGATTGGACTGGGCCGCCTCACGGGTTCCAAAAGCGCATCAACAATTGTGATGTTTTTCCTTGTGCCATCAAAACATATCAGCAGTAGGACCGTAGGCAATGTGTCACGACATGTTCTCCCGATGCTTGAACAATGTGAACAACCTTTCTGCCTTTTGGGGAGCTCTTTCCAGAAGTTCAGGCTTTGATAGCAACCAAAGTCAGTCAAGTAGGTATAAGTAGGTATAGGTAGGTATAAGTGCACGCTCAAATGTGACAAACCATGATCACGATTCAGCCATCATAAACCCTGTAAGACCCCCGCAAACACGGTACAAAGGTTGCTAGGTCCACGGCTGCTACGAGAGAGATGTTGTCAGTGTACCCGCATCGCAAGGGTTGTTTTTTCTGTCACAAGCAGTTTACCGTTGGAGTTATTCCGTTATGTGCGGCGTTGTGGATAGCGTTCGATGGGAACAGGCAGGCCCTGAAATAGACACCCACCCGCACACCCACACACCCACACCACACACCCCACCCCCACCCCCCACCCCCCACACCCACACACACCCACACAGACACACACACACACACACACAGACACAGACACACACACACACACACACACAGACACACACACACAGACACACAGACATACAGACATACAGACGCACGCATACACAGACACACGCATACACAGACACACGCATACACACGGACATGCAGACACACCGGCCAGGATAGCTAGTTTGCCTGCTGCAGCATATGTTTATGTCCGGAGCCTCAATTTTCTGTCGCCGAGTCTGGATGCCACGGTTAGAGGAAACATTTGTAGCCTGAAGTGTTTGGGAGCATGGACCCCCCAAAAACATACATAATAATAAATTGCGTATAGTTGCATTTGAGTTCCCTGCGTGTTGGAACATCCTGCAGTGACAAAAATCTAGTGACTCTAGTGGGGTCTTGCTCCAATTGTAAAAGAGACAAAGAGACTTGCCTTGGCCCCTCCATGTTTGCCATCACCATTCTCAGCATCCGCGTATACATTCGATACTTCAGCGTGCACACAATGGCAAAGACCTAGAGCCAAAAGTTTTGATCACGTAATTACACAATATCTGTAAATACAAGTATGCATACACATATATGCATGTACAGATGCATATATATATATATTTATAAATGTATATACATGCATGTGTAAATATGCAAAATAAATAAATATATATATATATGTATATATTTAAAAGCACATACATGAATATATACATTAATTCTTTATATATATTTATATTTTGCACATATAAATATATATATATGTATGTATGTATGAGTGTATATATATATTTATATTTTGCACATATATATATGTATTATTGTATATATATATATATTATTGTATTTCTATATGTGTTTATTGTATATACAGACAATATATTGCATATATCTAGTATATATATATATGTATTTGGCTCACATAGATATATATATATTTATATTAGATGTATGTTTCATTGTACATGTATATATAAATACATTGTATATAGATATTGTATATACATATGTATATGTATATATTTTAATATATATGTATATATTTTAATATATATATGTATATATTTTAAACATATAGTTTGCGTATATATATACATTTTGTATATATATAACTGGTGTAAATATATTTTATATATTGTATATTGAGATACTGTATATATATTATATAATATAGTTTTGTGCTCAAAAACAACATATTTATTTTTTGATAAAGAATATTAGATTTTATTGTGTTTTCAATATTATAGATATATATATATATTTCTATCATATTTATATATATTTAATTATATTATTATATATTCCATTGTATTACAGCAAATTTTAGTTCATTGTTTTTGAAGCTATATTGTTTTATTTTTATTATTGCATATTATATTTCATTATAATTTAGTGTTTTATTTATAGCATATTAAATATATTATATTAAATTTTGATATTACATTATACTAAGTTAGCTTATATTGTATTATGTCATATTTTTCATTTTATGATGCATATATATATACATATCTTGCATATATATATATATAATATCTATCTATCTACCAATCTTTCTATTCCTCTATCTATCTCTCTCTCTCTCAATATATATATATTTATATTGTATATGTATATACATATCTGTGTATGTACACGCTGGAGCCAGGAGATCATCGCATGCATTGCACGGAAGAAGAAGATTTCAGCAAGCATTCACTTGCTGTTGTACTATTGCTTACATTTGCACTGACAGAACTCTGCAGATTTGCACACATACATGTAGAGACACACACACACAAACACACTTACATTCACATGTCGGGAGACACGCAATGTTGCAGAAGTAAAATTAGTGACTGATTAGTGATTTGTGCACCGCACGTTTGGTCAAACCAACCACAAGAGGTTCAGTGCCTTGTCAAGTTGCGGATAAAAAACTCCACCTGCTGCTATGCTTGCTACATGAAGGAGAATCATGGGAACCCAGATGTTTTTCCCTTATTGCTGGCAGTGCTAGCTGGCACCATGTGTTTCTTTTCTAGTACTGTCAGATAACAGTCCAGATTGAATCATTTAGCATCAAGGAAACGGGACAGAAGTATTTATCTACTTTGCCTCTCATGTAAAAATCATATATATAGTTGGATTCTATCACCTGGGCTTTGCGGTTGTGACCCATTGGCCTATGCCGTTCTGATCTCCCCCCACTGCAGTGAACAGTTTGCATTGTGGTCAGCGCAGAAACAGGTCCAATTCTGCGGTGAACCAGCCCCAAATCATCTCTAGGTCATAAGAGTCATAAGGGCTTAGGATGATGTGAATGCCAGAATGTAACTGTCAGACTTAGCTGCTTGTGTTTTCAACATGTGCAGCTCCTGATATGTGGCTTCCGACTGCCAGATCCTTGGAAGCGCACTTCTACGCTACATCTTCACATGGTCCCTCCGCACCGCCAACGCTCCGACGGTGCACCTGCCAGCATGAAGTAAACATCTTTTGAAGATGTGTATAACATGCACTTCAAAGTGCGTTACCTTCATTTATTATATACCTTCTATGTATAGATATTATATAATAGCTACGTATAGCTACACACACTGTTGAGGCTTATTTGTGGTTCAAGATGCCAGGCTATTCGACCAGGGGTCAATCATGGGCCAAATGATATTGGGTTCAGTGATGTAAACTGGGCATAGAGTGCAAATCAGATGTGAGTCCTGTTTTAGACCATTGTATAAGATATGAATGATTGTGATCGAACTTACTGGGAGCTTCTGGCCTGAAGAACTGTGTCGCAGTGCCTGCCTAGATGTCCTTGCAACCATATAGATTCTGACGATGGAAAGCTGTTGGAGCCAAGTATTTGTGTGGCGCAAGAGTTTGGCCGTCACATGCCTTTGTATGCAACGCACATTACCTCGAAAGCTTAGTTTTGGCGACACTGTTTCACTTTGGCATGACATAAACTGGGCCAGCTGAAGCCAAACTCACGACATTTGCTGAACGCGGTTGAAACATGTTGAACCGTGTTGAAACACTCTCTTGCTACAGGATTCTTGCTTTCTATGTCTTTCTATGTCTTTGCCTTTTCCTTCCCACCGACAGGGCCCCTCTGCTTCCTGTGATTTCCTGTGCAAGGTGCAGCTGGTGAATGCAGTCGCGGTCCCTTTTGGATCAGCCTTGCTGATGCTCCTCTCGTCGGGTCGCTCTGATCTTCAGACTTCTCGTCACGCGTGATGCACTCCTCACTGCAATACTTGAGTCAGCCGCATCAATCCGCATCAGTGGTGGCCAAAGGAAACCATGCTTGAGCTTCAAGGTTCTTGCTCAGTACCCTGTTCTATAAGCTGTTTGACAAACTTGAAGTACTTGTCGCTACTTGTCACTTTGCGAGTGGTACTTGATTTGTCACGTGCTAGGAAAACGCCACTCAGCGCTCAAAGTCTAGCAGCGTCCCAGCCTTGGTTCACGATTGCACTTGGACACTCTAGCAAGCATACAACTAGCAAAGGCTAAAGGCCTTGTAGCCTTGTGGAGTAGTTGCGTACTGCATCAGCCACACACACTAATTCTCTTCAAATTGTCATACTTCTCAGCTCCCTGGTTTGCACATGTGATGACTTGTCCGCAAAGGACACCTTGTTTGGAAAAGCTAATCCATGACTGCATTCACAACAGCCCAGACTACGCAATTATTGCAGCGTTGTGGTTGTTCGGAACACAAGGCTCGGCCTTTGCACCGTGGGAAGTGTGGTCTTCTTCATGGAAGAGGGGCCATTGGTGAAGGCAAAGCGTATAGGTGTGTCATCTCGTGCCCTTGTAATTTGTGGTGTTGCGCCTCAGCCAATAGCTTGGTGTCTTCGTTGATTTGCTTTTCTGCTCTTTTCTCACAAGTCAAATTGGATCCTTCTATCTTTCGTCAGCACAACCATTGCAGATTTCAAACCTTGGAAAACCATCTTCTGGGCAACATTGGGCAACAATCACCAATTTGCATTGTACAGCTGTTGCATGCCTGCCCTTTGTTTTGAGTTCCAAACGCATGGTGTGAAATCCCTCAGATTGAATTTTGTTGGTGTCAGCTCTGCAAATGCGCTGGCTTCTATGTCTCCCGGGGTGGAGGGTCTAATATTGAGAGAGGAGCACGAAAAAAACACAGGCTGCCACACCCCCAAGCCCTGTAGCGTGAGCTGTGTGCAGGCTTCAGAGCTCTTTAAGAGCAGCATGACTGAACAACAATTGAAACTGGAAGAGGCCAGCATTTGGGACAATTTGATCCAATGGACACTGACACAAGGGACAATCTTATTTTACCATTTAGTTTGCGCCAACATAAATGGTGCTTGGACAATTTGCTCATTGTGGTCGGCCCAGAGGCCCAGAACCGTAGTATTATATATTTAAATGTGATGTGCCCGTGCAAGCCACCAAGTTGCAGGTTTGCAACTCGTTGTTTATGAAGCGTAGAGGTGGCAGCGAACCACACACTACATCAGACAGCGCTTGAGCTGAAACTCGATCGACGGCACTGCCAGGCTTGGAAACGAGAACAAAGAGAAAAAGCTCAAAAGATGGCAGAAGATTCTTATTCTGAAAGTTCATGAAAACTCTGCATGAAGATGTTGCCCTGCTTTCAGACACAACCCCATGTTTCCATTCCACTGGTCATATTGCCAGTGCTTGTGACAAAGTGCATTGGGTGCAGTCGAATCAGTACAATGGGGAGCCTTCACACGTCATGCTTCATGAAAGTGGCTGCCTTACTGTGCCTTACTGTAAGAGAAGAAGAATGCCCAGCTGCATCACCAAGGAACGTGAGCGCAAAAAGAAGGCTGACAAGGAGAAACAGGCCACTGCATGTCGCAGCATGTCGCCCGGAGTGAGTCAGTCAATCTCAAATGGCCAGTGTTTGTGGGCAACTTGGAGCCTTGCTCAATCAGATTCCATCACAATGAATTTTGCTGTACACTTGATATCCATCTAAAAGTGTGCCAAATCTATCTCGGTCTATCTGTTTCTATATGCAAGCCAAAGTGTGACAAGACCACACGCAACAAGACAAATTACAAACTTGGCAGCAACGTGACCCCGAGGGTGCAAGCAGCCGAGACACTGTTGCAAAAGCACGGAAGTGTTGCACTTGACCTACACGCATTGAACAGTCGCAACACAAACATGCAGCATATTGCAGCATCATCATCCATACTGACCTATGACACTACACAGTAGATTTGAAACGATTGACGGTAAGAGCACTCGACTTGGATGACCATAATAACAGCATCAAGGAGAAACTGACATTGGTTTGTTTGCTTGCCCAGCACCCCCATGGAATCTTACTCCAATATTTCGATCCGCACATTGTGTTTGCTTTTACTTGCTTTTCATGGACTCTGTCACCCTAGTTGCATTGCCAGTATGGGCGCAAGAAAAGCTTGCTCTTTTAGTGCTTGGAGGTTGGAGCATTTAATGCATCATTAAATGCATCATTTTTTCCATCATTAAATCATCATTGAATGCATGATTTAAGGTATCATTTGATGCAAGATTTACTGTAATGCTCACAGATAAACTGATAGATTTGGTATATGATATTCGTGATATTTCCTGGGAAATTGCGAGGTTTGAGCATGTGGATTCTTTACAAGGCTCTGTGGTGCGACTTTCGCAGGCAGAAAGGGAAAAGACCAAGGAGTTGGAGAAGCAGAAGCGCTTGGCACAGGCGGAGGCTTTGCGAAAGGAGAAGGAAGAGAAGCAGAAAAAACAGGAGGCGACAGATCCGTGACAAATCGGCCGCTCCCATGTGATATCAGATGATATCAGTAAGATCTTGTGAAGCAGTTTCAACACGTTTCAACTAGCAACCCAAAGAGTTCATCTACAGCCATGCGAGTTGCCCTGGCATATGAGGAAGAGCAAAAGCGCAAAGAGGAGGAGCGCCAAAAAGTTGCGGCCGAAAAGAAGAGATTGCAGGAGTCCCGGCTCACCTCGCCCCAGCTCCCCCCACCCAACGTCATGAGAGCCATGGGTCCAACAGAATCGGACAAAATATCTCGTCCGTCAAAGTACGTGTATGGCAATGAAATTGCTCTATTTGTGGTGGATGAAGGGTGTGCTAACTGGTTGATTTCCGTCAACATGTGTTTACTTGTGTAGGACGTTCAGGACAAGTGAGGTAAAACCCGTTCAGCATGTCAATTTGCAGCTGCAAAACATTGATGACCAAAAAAGCGCTCTTTGTATTTGGAGGAGGAACAGAAACTAAAGAAGGAAGAAGAAAAAAGAAAGAAGGATGAAGAAAGTAAAAAGGCAGACGAGGAGCGTCGCAAGAAGCAAGAGGAGTACCAGAGGACCATCACCTGACTCGTATTGCAAAAGGCGTTGAGTCTTTGCGCACGATTGCCGATATTCATTCTACCAAACCTTGAAATTGAAGGCCAGTTCCAGCTTGGTTTAGTACAGATTCAATGATTTTCCATTTAAGCGACCAAGACATAAGACCACGTAGAAGATGGTCCTTTGCGTTCTAGATCCAAGGTTTCACCCTGGTTGGATGTTCTGTGACAGGGAATCGCTCTTCCTTGAAACAAAACAAGAAAAGTGTAGTCCGTGGCACTGCCATGTTTCCAGGTCTTTTTTTCACAAGGTGGTGCACACATGCTCACACACCACCTGTTGCTTTGCATGCTTAAGTGACCAGCAATTTGATCAGGATGAAGCAAGAGGAGGAGAAAAAGGCAATTGCGGAGAAGCAAAAGCAGGAAGCAGAGAAAAAGAAACAAGAGGAGGAGAAACGGCGCCAAGTAGAGGCCGAGAAGAAGGCTAAGGAAGAGGAACGAAAAGAGCAGGAGAGAATAGAACAGCAGAAGAAGGTGGAAGCAGCAAAGAAAAAGGAAGAGGAGGAAAAGAAAGCAATTGCAGAGAAGCAGAAGATGGAAGCAGAGAAAAAGCAGCAAGAGGAGGAGAAACGACGCCAAGTAGAGGCCGAGAAGAAGGCTAAGGAAGAAGAACGAAAAGAACAAGAGCGAATTGCACAGCAAAAGAAGGCGGAAGCAGCAAAGAAAAAGGAAGAGGAACAGCAGCGACAGGCAGAAGAAGCTAGAAAGGCACAGGACCGACGCTTCTGATTCATGTGATACTGTAACTTTGTGAGTGGATTTTTGCTCTGGTAACGAAAGTGTATGCAACTCATGTTTTGCACCACCAGGAAGACAGTGATTTTTCACGCAGGAAATGAAGAAGGCAGAAGAAGAGCGGAAGCAGAAAGAAAAGGAGGAACGCATGAAGAAACAGGAAGAGGAAGCTGCTCGCAAGAAGGAATCAGAGCGCCAACGAAAGCTAGAAGAAGAACAAAAGAAACAAAAGATTGAAGCAGAAAGAAAGCAGAAACAACAACAGGAAGCGTTGCAGAGGAAGCAGGAGGAGGAACGTAAGCTAAAGGAGGAGGAGTCAAAACGCAAGGCGGAGGAAGCCAGGAAGCAGAAAGAAGAAGCAGAGCGCAAGCGCAAGGCGGAGGAGGAGAGCAGAAAGAAGCAAGAAGAAGCGGAGCGTAAGCGCCAGGCGGAGGAAGAGAGAAAAAAACAAGAAGAAGAGCAAAAGCGAAAGGCAGAGGAAGAGAGGAAAAGACAGGAGGAACAAAAACGCAAAGAGGAAGAGGCTGCCAAGTTGAAAGAGGAAGAGAAACGAAAAGAGGAAGAAGCTGCCAAACGACAAAAGGAGCAGCAAGAGCAGGAGGTCATGGCTGAAGCCTCAGAGGCGGGATCGGCTTGTGGTAGCCGTCGGCTTTGAGTGGAGTTGGAGGGATGCCAGAATGGATTGCGCAATGCCACTGGTGGGTTCTGCTGACCCGGTCTTTGGTGACTTGGCTAGAGATGCTATATTTATTGCCAATGCTGGAGGTAGCGGGCCAACGGGCTTGGAAAAACATTGCCCGAGCGTCTTGTATTAGACTTAGAGCATTGTATTCATATGCCACTCGTGGTTGTGTCTTCCTTAGATATTTGCTGTTCCTGGTTTCCCAGCATCGTGTGTGTGTGTGTGTTCCATCTGTATAGATGTAAAACTTCTATAATGTGCAGGGGGCAGAGGGATCTCCAGTTGTGGCCTCTGCCAACGAAGCTCCACACTGGATGATCAGGTAAACGTACCTGCTTTATATTATATATAGAGTCCCGCCCCTGGGCGCATTTAAGACGCAGCTGGGGAGGACATATATTTTATCGCTGTTGTTTTATACTGTCATTGTCTACTGTGATTATACGTATATATATATAATTTTCATTCTTCGTGTCAGGTTTAACTGGAGTGTTTTTTGCACGTCTGTTGCATTCCACATCAAAATTCGCAATGACCGTTCTGAGCAAGTGTGTGATTCATGCTGGATTCGTCAAGGTGGCATGAACCCTTCGGGGGAAAGCTTGTCGAAGCTAAGACTTGACACTTTGAAATGACCTCTGAATTAACACTTTTGAATTAGTAATTCGTCTACGTAAAGTGAAACAGCCGTTCACCTTTCAGGTTTCACTCTGTCGGTCGAGTGAGTGTTGAAACTGCTTGCCGCAGTACTGGGCATCGCCTTTTTTCAATTTTCACCATGCTCTGCATAGCTGGAAGCCACGACAACATCCGTTTTTTCAATACTGCCCAAGAGAGTACGGAGCTCCACATTTTCAACATGACATGTGACCATGTGAAGGCATCCGGACATTCCTTCAGGTGTGGTGATCCTTTCTTTTTATGGTCGTTGGTGAGGTTCAATTGTGCACGTAATTCAGGGGTTGACTACGTAAGCCGTCTATGGGGGTGACTTGAATCTGGGCCATTGAGCCTCAACGAGGGGACTTTGCATGATAGTGTGGATGCATCTTCATCAACTAATCCCCCATGGGTCCCTTTTCTAATGTGTTCTTGCGTTCTCCCCTCTTCAGGTAGGTTTGGTCCTTCGCGTGCCAAGGTAGGTGTAGGTTCTCGCCGTGTTAGGTTGGTTCAGGCGCTTCCGTCCTTCCCCCCCTCCGCTGGTCTTGTTCCGTTGTCCGTCGGCCTCCGCTTTTCTTTTCCCTTGCCTTTTCAGGGTTTGCCCGTTCCGGGTCAGGTGTGTCGTGTTGGTGTTCTCTCTGTCCCTCTTCTTTTGTGTTCCCCTCTTCCCGTCCTGGTTAGGTATTGTTCATTTCACTTTCATTGTCACCTCACTTTCATTGTCACTTCATCTGCTCCGCTGCGGCGGGGCGTGTGTGTGTTCCATCTGTATAGATGTAAAACTTCTATAATGTGCAGGGGGCAGAGGGATCTCCAGTTGTGGCCTCTGCCAACGAACCTCCACACTGGATGATCAGGTAAACGTACCTGCTTTATATTATATATATTATATATATATAGTCCCGCCCCTGTGCGCATTTAAGACGCAGCTGGGGGGGACATATATTTTATCGCTGTTGTTTTATACTGTCATTGTCTACTGTGATTATACGTCTATGTGAATATATAATTTTCATTCTTCGTGTCAGGTTTAACTGGAGTGTTTTTTGCACGTCTGTTGCATTCCACATCAAAATTCGCAATGACCGTTCTGAGCAAGTGTGTGTGGAACGTCTGAACAGACGTAAAACTTCGATGGCGGCTCATTTATATATTTTACATATTTTATCAAAGCAGGGGGTCACCGGGGTCCCGGGGGGATCGGTGACCAGCGAAGACACCTCCCTGGGACCCATGAAAACGTACCTGCGGGACTTCGGTGGTGCACCTGGGCGCATTTAAGTGGCAGCTGGTGGCCACCTAGCCTGGGCGCATTTAAGTCGCAGCTGGTGGCCACCTAGCCCCATATAAATATATATATATAATTATCAAAGAAGTTGGGAAGCAATACTTCCGTGTTACGGACAAAAAGAATTGTGAGACTTGACGTTGATGAAGGGCGGTGTGACACTTGACATCACACAACAATACATCACAAAAGAAAAGGGCGGTGTGAGACTTGACATCACATAACAATACATCGCAAAAGAATAATAGGCTATGACACAGCGTGGTGACGAAGGGCAGTGTTGACCTAGGGAAATGGTGACGAAGGGAAGTGGTGAGGAAGGGAAGTGGTGACGAAGGGAAGTGGTGACAAAGGGAAGTGGTGACGAAGGGAGTGTGGTGACTTTGGGAAGTGGTGACTAAAAGAAGTGGTGAGGAAGGGAAGTAGTGACGAAGGGAGTGTGGTGACTTTGGGAAGTGGTGACGAAGAGAGTGTGGTGACTTTGGGAGGTGGTGACTAAGGGAAGTGGTGACGAAGGGAAGTGGCGAGGAAGGGAAGTGGTGACGATGCGAAGTGGTGACGAAGGGAAGTGGTGACGAAGGGAAGTGGTGACTTTGGAAGTGGTGACTTTGGGAAGTGGTGAGGAAGGGAAGTGGTGACTAAGGGAAGTGGTGACGAAGAGAGTGTGGTGACTTTGGGAAGTGGTGACTAAGGGAAGTGGTGACGAAGGGAAGTGGCGAGGAAGGGAAGTGGTGACGATGCGAAGTGGCGACGACGGGAAGTGGTGACGAAGGGAAGTGGTGACGAAGGGAAGTGGTGACGAAGGGAAGTGGTGACGAAGGGAAGTGGTGACTTTGGGAAGTGGTGAGGAAGGGAAGTGGTGACTAAGGGAAGTGGTGACGAAGGGAAGTGGTGAGGAAGGGAAGTGGTGACTTTGGGACGTGGTGACGAAGGGAGTGTGGTGACTTTGGGAAGTGGTGACTAAGGCGGGAAGGGAAGTGGTGACGATGGGAAGTGGTGACGAAGGGAAGTGGTGACTTTGGAAAGTGGTGAGGAAGGGAAGTGGTGACTTTGGGAAGTGGTGAGGAAGGGAAGTGGTGACTAAGGGAAGTGGTGACGAAGGGAAGTGGTTAGGAAGGGAAGTGGTGACGAAGGGAAGTGGTGATGACGGGAATGCTGCAAAATGCAATGTACTGGCTGCATGAATGTTGCATGCTCTGTGTTGTGGGGAGGAAGCCGGAGCACGAAACCTTGTGTTTTTCCGTGTAAAGTGGCTGCAGCCGGCGATAAAAGGTACCTCGTGTGTGCGGCGGTTGCGACTGGGGGCGTTTTGGTTCCTCCTCTGTGTTCTGCAACGGCTGGTTGCTCCTGTGTGCGTAGTTCTATGCGTTTCTTGAATCTGTGGTTGCAGATCGCATTGGAATGGCTGCATGAATGTTGCATGCTCTGTGTTGTGGGGAGGAAGCCGGCGCACGAAACCTTGTGTTTTCCGGTACCTCATGTGTGCGGCGGTTGCGGCTGGGGTCGTTTTGGTTTCTCCTCTGTGTTCTGCAGCGGGTGGTTGTTCCTGTGTGCGTAGTTCTATATGCGTTTCTTGAATCTGTGGTTGCAGATCGCATTGGAATGGCTGCATGAATGTTGCATGCTCCGTGTTGTGGGGAGGAAGCCGGAGCACGAAACCTGGTGTTTTTCCTGGTAAAGTGGCTGCAGCCGGCGATGACAGGTATCTCGTGTGTGCGGCGGTTGCGGCTGGGGTCGTTTTGGTTCCTCCATGTTCCTCCTCTGTGTTCTGCAACGAGTGGTTGTTCCTGTGTGCGTAGTTCTATGCGTTTCTTGAATCTGTGGTTGCAGATCGCATTGGAATGGCTGCATGAATGTTGCATGCTCCGTGTTGTGGGGAGGAAGCCGGAGCACGAAACCTTGCGTTTTCCCATGTAAAGTGGCTGCAGCCGTGCGGCGGTTGCGGCTGGGGTCGTTTTGGTTCCTCCTCTGTGTTCTGCACCGAGTGGTTGTTCCTGTGTGCGTAGTTCTATGCGTTTCTTGAGTCTGCGGTTGCAGATCGCATTGGAATGGCTGCATGAATGTTGCATGCTCTGTGTTGTGGGGAGGAAGCCGGAGGACGAAACCTTGCGTTTTTCCGTGTAAAGTGGCTGCAGCCGGCGATGAAAGGTACCTCGTGTGTGCGGCGGTTGCGGCTGGGGTCGTTTTGGTTCCTCTTCTGTGTTCTGCAACGGCTGGTTGTTCCTGTGTGCGTAGTTCTATATGTTTCTTGAATCTGCGGTTGCAGATCGCATTGGAATGGCTGCATGAATGTTGCATGCTCTTTGTTGTGGGGAGGAAGCCGGCCTTATGTGTGCGGCAGTTGCGGCTGGGGCTGGTTCCTCCTCTGTGTTCTGCAACGGGTGGTTGTTCCTGTGTGCATGTTCTATATGCGTTTCTTGAATCTGTGGTTGCAGATCGCATTGGAATGGCTGCATGAATGTTGCGTGCTCTGTGTTGTGGGGAGGAAGCCGGCGCACGAAACCTTGCGTTTTCCCGTGTAAAGTGGCTGCAGCCGGCGATGAAAGGTACCTCGTGTGTGCGGCGGTTGCGGCTGGGGTCGTTTTGGTTCCTCCTCTGTGTTCTGCACCGAGTGGTTGTTCCTGTGTGCGTAGTTCTATATGCGTTCCTTGACTCTGTGGTTGCAGATCGCATTGGAATGGCTGCATGAATGTTGCATGCTCTGTGTTGTGGGGAGGAAGCCGGAGCACGAAACCTGGTGTTTTTCCCGGTAAAGTGGCTGCAGCCGGCGATGACAGGTATCTCGTGTGTGCGGCGGTTGCGGCTGGGGTCGTTTTGGTTCCTCCTCTGTGTTCTGCACCGAGTGGTTGTTCCTGTGTGCGTAGTTCTATATGCGTTTCTTGAATCTGTGGTTGCAGATCGCATTGGAATGGCTGCGTGAATGTTGCATGCTCTGTGTTGTGGGGAGGAAGCCGGAGCACGAAACCTTGTGTTTTTCCCGTGTAAAGTGGCTGCCCATTTGCTGCTTATTTGACTGATCATCAGTAACTTCCAATTTTTGCTGTCTGAAGGTTTGTAACCTAAATTGTTGCTTCCTGTTTCCCTCATCTCCATTTGCACTGTTCTTACCTTTGCAGTGTGTCTCAGACATTATGGCTTACTCATCTGATTACGTACGTACTCAACCTGATCGATCCCGCCACGGAACCATCACTACAGGGATGCCTGGCGATATGTTCCCCCAGTGAGGGACACACGCCGAGTACTCTGGTTAGTGTCAACTTGGAACAAGTCCGTCCCGTCCTCTCAGAATTGGGACATGACCACATGGACATGACATCCTGCAGTGAACTCCCGGGCTTAGGCCGCATGGAGGAAATTGCTCTGTTCACCTATCATGTCCTCATCCATCCGACACATGTACGATCTCTTATGGTGGAAACACTGCTCTACTACATCAGTCAGCACATCCACTACACCTGGGATTGTTTCATTGAACACACGTCGTTGGATCTGCGTTGGCAAGACATCACGGGCGACACCTTCGTCCTGAGGAACGAACACCTCCTGTTTGACCTGCTTCATGAACATCGCCCACGTTGGACTGAGGGTCAAGAACTCGGCATCTTATTCCCCAATGAAATTCGCCCGTTCGTGAATCCGAACCAACCATACATCATGCGGCTGAGTTGCCATAAGGCACTTCCCAACCGTAACATGCTCCCATGAGTTGGTCAAAAGACAAGCCCACTGCCGCATTGCTTGCTTATTGTCAGTGCTGTTGCATCTTTCCTCTCTTTTCTTTTCTCACCTTATTCGTTCGCTGCTGTTGCACCATCTTTTTTCAACATGGTTTATTTTTGGCTTAAGCACTCAACATGACCAAGCGGGATTCTGCTCGTGCTGGCATTGATTCTCCCCGCGGACCAATGAGCCTCCAGCGCCGCCAGCTTACTGTCTCTGTGCAGCATAGCCGTGCTGTGGCCTCTTCTGACCATCATCCAACAGGTGATCAAAGTCAGGCATCCTGGTCCTCAAACCAGCACCATTCTGGAACCACCGAACTTGGTGACACACCATCAAGTGCTCCTCATTTCGGATATACCTCTGATATCCCTCCGGTCCCTATGCCATCTGGATCTCAGTGGTACCCCCAAGGGGAAGCCTATCCGTTGCAATCGGAAATCCAGAAACAGAACAAAGTCCTACATACTCACATCTTCAAGAAGATAGTATCGCCTCCTGGATCGAATACCCCAGATCGCCTGGTAGTGACAGAAGTGGATCGTCAAGGAGAAGAACGGAACAGGCAACCGGAGTACTTCTTCAATGGAATCGTTGGTCATGTCAGAGCGGAAAATGGGGGCTACATAGACAGCTGGCAACAAGCCACTCGCCCTGCCAATTACTGGCGTCGTTTCTACGGCATTCCCGTACCTGTAGACAACTACCAACATTGGCACCAGCCGTGGCAACCGTCTGACAATGCTGATCAGACGTCGGAGTACCAAGACTCTCCCCATGAATCCGTGATGGATGACAACATGTCCAACGCGGCCAACGTTGGCGCATTACCGGTTCCAAGTCGGATCCACCAACTGGCAAGTATCCTGTACAACATTCTCAGCAATGACAGAGAAGCCAATGCAGCGATCCTTGAGAAGTGAAACGGACCAAACCGACTTGGCCACCGATCCATGTCAAATCTTCACGGCAGAAGGCTTGGCTCACCTTGCCAGCCACTTGGCAACCACGACGCAGACTTTGTCGCAGCATGCTCTGAGAATGCAATTGGAGGCCCTGTCGGACATTGAGAACTGACATCATGAACGAAGACTGAGCCTTCTGGCTAATTCATCTACCCATTTCCCTGTGTTTTGAAGCCATTGCAATTTCCTGCTTCAGGAAACAGATAATAGCTCTTCGCCGTTGGTGACCTCCATAAAAAAGCCTCGCGGCAGCGGGGCGTGTGTGTGGAACATCTGAAAAGATGTAAAACTTCTATCTTGGTAACTTCCGTAACCTGATTGCTTAATCTTTCGAGTTTCATGAAATTTCCCATGTCCCTTCAAGAAGGGGAAACTTGGTCGAGGAATTTTTTACGTTTCATGCAAATTCATATGTCTTATCAAGCAGGGGGATGGAGAGGACATATGAGGCTCCATCCAACGAAGCTCCTCATATGATCCTAGGATATCACCAGGGACGCCTGGTGACGTACCTGCAACGCCATTTCAATTTCACGTCAATGGCAACCGGCTAAGCCAAGAACCGGCATGTCGTTTTTCAAACAGATTTCCAACCAAACTTTCAGCTTTCCATTCGATGTCACTTCACTGACTGTACGGTTTTCGCAATCTGAACTTCCTTTGTCATTTGAGGATGAATGAGCTGCATCAGAACGAGTTGTATGATTTCCTTCGCACTGTTTTTCGCCTCTGATCTTTCAACTATTCCTGTCAGGTTTTACTGAAGTGTTTTTGCACGTACGATGCATTCCACATCAGAATTCGCAAAGATGTTTCTGAGCAAGTGTGTGGGGGCAACCCCTGTACCAAAGGGCTTTAATCAGAATTGCTCCGGCATCAAAGTTTTAATTCATCACCAGCAGCAGCGGGCGACAGAGTCGCTGCATGGCTGTCGCCAACGAAGCTCCATGCAGTAGACTAGGATATGGAGTCTGATCAACTCCACGTACCTGCAGTTTTTCGTCATTTCATTCCGTTTTAGTGAGCGGCTGATTTTCGTCAGTATGTACACAACAGAATCCTGTTTTGCAGTTCTTTCGTACGGAGTTTATCAGATATCATTGCAGTTTCAATTTTTCGCTAAAAAGGCCTTAAATCAGAATATCCAGATCCCTTGATGGGAAACAAGAAGTGACTCATAGACGACAAACGGTCTGTCAAGTGTGTGTGTGTAACATCTGAATAGATGTAAAACTTCTGCGGTTTTTCTTTTTTCATATAGCGGGGGAACACAGCATTTCTCTGGGACTGTGTCCAACGAAGCTACCGGTGAAATGGGATATCCAGCTTGGCCAGCTGGACGTACCTGCAATCCGATTATTTCCTTTTGGCTGACATGGCACGGGGCTAAGCCGAGAACCCCTACCTTGGATCAATAATCTTGTTTGATTGCACGTTTACGGGATTCAGTTCCCATCGGATCACTTCAATGACCCAGTTCTTTTCTAGCGTGTGTGCGTGTGTGTGTGTGCGTGTAGCTCTTCGTGCTTCTTTTGTGCATCCAAACTGTGAACTGTGTCATCTCACGCCACCATGTTTGGGGTTGAGTCTTACATTTGCATTTTTTGAATGCCAACAAATTTTAAAAGGTCTCCAGCATAAGGTCACCTCAAGTTGTGTTGCTGCATACTACATTAGATTCCTGTTACACAAGGTCCCTGGTTACCATTTCAACAAGGCAAACCCAAAAGGAATATATAGGGCACCAGGCTGCCCGCAATTCCGTTTCTTTGTTTGTTTTGCGCTATGCATTGTTGGGGTGACCTTTGCTGCTGTTGGAAGGCCAGCGAAAAGGATAAGAGAGACCAAGACAAGCGATATGAGCACCTCGGCTATCCTCTTACTTTAGTGTCCTGTCTAATTCTTCCAGAGTCCGGCACGTAAGACTTAAGTTGATGTACGTACATGAGACAAGACACACAATCTCCCCAAAGGATCCCAAAGGAGCATTTGACTTTATCGAACATATTTTTTTTTGCACAATAGCGATGATGCTGGACATTTTTTTTTTCGAAGATTGCCAGCAGTTTAAACAGTTGTTTTCCTGAAGGTTTGGAGAGTGTCCAGGTTTCCAGCAGTGAAAGTGGAGTAACCTGCTCAGAAGTCCCAAAATGCATTCTCCGGCTACCAAAGCTTCGTTAAAGACCCATTCTTTTCAGTACGCTTTCCTTGGCTTCCCCAGGAAACACTGGTCCACTTCTAAATAGTCTTAATTTATATGCAATGATTTTCATGTCCTCAACAGCATCAAACATATCAAACGTTCTCAGAATCGTTTTGACCGTTTTCATGTATTTTCCGGACTTGAAGGGCTGTACTACTCGTATGATGCTGGACAATGCTGTACGCCTCTTGGGCACCTGCTGAGGCGCTTGAGCTTTAAGTGGAAGGTACAAGATGAGATGCGCTTGGGCCAAGAGGCTTACAGAATTAGATGAATTTGTGGCTTCTGAGAGATTTCGGATTCTTTGCATTCATCCAAACATACTATCGTTACTATAGATTTCTGCTTGTTTGGATGACCAAGCTTTCATTGAGCCTCTTCAAAGTTTTGCATCCCTTCAAGGCAGCCAAGATAAAAAGACAACTCCAAGAAAGGCCAAGTCTTGTGAGTTGATGCGGACCCAATTCGCCTGGTTGGACTCCCATTCTGCTTTAGACACTTTAGACACTTTAGACATTGTGACTGGAATGACTGGACACTGGACGGGCTATGGGCTCTTGATTCCCTCATGGGACCCTGGGACTGAAATGTTGAGGAGAGGTACCGTTACTTCCGTTACTAAGATTGAACCATATTGAACCTCACATTTAAGAGACTTGTCAGACTTGTCATCAAACGCATGGAGCAGTGAGGGAACAGTGCTGTCAGGGAACAAGAACTTGCCAGACTGCGCCAAAGCAAAGAAGATGAAAACAGGAGTGGCTCATTCCTCGCTGCGGTTGCGACTTTGCAGACGGGTCATTCCTGCTCTATCATGCCTCGATGAGTTATTAATACAAAAACAGCGAAACCAGGTCACTTCAGTGCCAAGCCCGCAGGAATTGACATTCAACACTTTATTGCCTGAAAACGAGGCGGTTTTTTAGCTTCACATCTCTTGCACTCGATTCCCGAGCTGTTCTGACTGGTTGAAGTTCAGTTCTAAAGCTTGACATGCGGGAGCAGAATAGTCGAACATTTATCAGCACTGCAAAAGCAAAACTGCCTATATACGATTGACGGCATTTTGAGTACACACACACAGACGCAATCACATACAGCTGCAAATTTGTGTGCATATTTATCATGCATTATGTAATGCAGATGCACACAGACCGTAGATGTACATGCAGCCTCTTGCACAGTGACGAGCATGTTCCAAGCACGCCGCAATTCTGTTTCTTGATTCCCGAGAGCAGATTTCAGCTTGCGGTGATGTTCCTTTCTCTTCCTTCCTTCTTGCGGACTGACACAAATCTGTCAAATTTGATGTGGACAGGAAGTGGGCGGAGTTGCAAGCAGAGGCTGCAAATCCGATTTGTGCACATTTGCAGCAGGACCATGCAGTATGGTTTCCTTTGACTGGCAGAGATTTTTCTGCAGGAAATGCATGTTGCTGTGATGGTTTGATCTTGTCTTCCACGCTTCTCAATAATTCATTTCTCTGTCAGAATCACACCAGGTTTCTAACGTAACATGTCCTACTTGTTGAGCTTTTACCTCATTATCTGGGGCTACAAATGGTTGTAGTGTAAGCACGTGCACAAACACTGTCCTGTAGACTCTGGCGATGCACCATGCCGTGCACTGATAGAGCTGAACGGCCATAGATTCGAGAGATTTCGAGAGGCAAAAAAGATTGAGGATGAAAAATCCAAGGTGTGTGGGACGAAGTTTCTGGAAGGGCCGTGTATTTTACAAATTTAGTAGCAGGAAAGGGCAGGAAAGGGTTTGATTTTCATAACGAAGGAAAATGCAGCTTGTTTAAGAGTTCCTGTTGTGTTTTCGAGCTTTTCCAAAGATGCTGCTGCTAATAATCTGCTATTATATCATCCTGCTTGGCTTTTGGAGGTCTCTCTTGTTTGTTCTTGCAAACCTCAGTCCCCAGTGCCATGTATCTGAAACTTGATATAAATTGATATTTGATGACTACTGCTTATTACTTGCAGGGAGACTCCGTGCTTTCATATTGAATGTTAATGAATGTTACCTATTTCATCACTGGAAGTGAAGAGAACAGCCTGAAGCTTCTCGTCTTTGGTGTGCTGCCTATGATATCCTATGATGACCTTAGATGACAGTTTTGCTTCCCAGTACTCCATGATGCCACTGCAGGTCTCTTCAGCCAACCGTTGTTTCGTTTGACTGCCGGATAATGTGTAATGGAATGACGCAGTCCCATCTGGGTGTAGTTCGTTCGAATGCGCTGGAGTTTCATTTTCGTTGAAGGGACTGATGTATCTTGCACCTCATTGAATTAAGATCTTGTCCCCCCTGCGAGGCCTTCCAGAAGAAGAGATGAGCAGGTGCAGCCAGCTCAATCTCATTCCAGTTGTGCGATGTAGAAATGCGATATGCCAGCTAAAAGTAGCTAAGTCTAAGTTGTCTTTCGCAATAAGAGATGCACCCACCATGAAGCAACACAAATAAACACAGTTTGGAGCCTCATATTACAGTATATAATTTCAACATATTTCAACTGAATTTGATCAGAATTCAGTATCAACATTTATCAACATACTGTAATGTGATTTGCAGGCACTTCCTTGTCGCTACTGTTTGCGCTTCGTATCCTTACACTCTGAAAAGACAGAGATGAAGAAACTGCTAGGCCCAAGGGTTGATAGACTATCATAGAATTCTGAGTGTCGCTTATATAATGAATATCTATCTGAATCTATCTCAAGTATTTGCAATCGCAAGTGTTTGCAGAATAGTCTTCGTAAGGTCCTCCTTTGAATGTTTTGATCGGCGGACTTGGCAAAGGGTAAGTAAAGTGGCACTGAACTTTTTGGTGCAGTGATTATTAGAGCATCGCCAGAAAAATGACTTAGACTTTGCTGGCGGGCGAAATGATATGAGAGGCCGACCCAGAGTCGTCTGCATGTCTTCGAAATTTTGGGGAGTTCCGACACTCTGCACAGACCATAAAAACACCTTGAACAGATTTGAAGGCAATTTTGTGTTGATCACACTGATCAGATCAGACAAGACATATCAAAACATATCAAGACATGTTAGTGTGTCACACTGTGTTCCTTAGATTGTGACAGCATCTCTGCTGGTCTCTACAGTCCGTCCCAGTGCGTGTCTTTTTAACCTTGCTTCTGTATACTGCATGCGGTTCAGAGTCGACTTCTCGAATTATATAGAAATGGGGTCCTTTTGTTGACTTCCTTGGTAGAACAAAGAGCTCAAGGCGCACGTGAAAGTGCCGTGTCTTTACCCGTGAGATGTACAGACATAGCAGATGCTTCACGTGGGACGGAGTGGAAGCAGCAGCTAGCCAGGGAAGCCCACCCAAGTTTTGGGCACTTTTTGCATCCACTTTGTTATGCCACTTGGATCGACCAGGGTTTAAGCCCAAACCATTAATCAGTGGTCCATATAAAATGGCCCAGAACAAATCTGACCGCAACAGATTCACACTCTAGTTGAACATGGCCATCTCTTCAAAGCACTGCTCTGAACCTTCCACACTGACCGTAAATTCACGCAACGGCAAATGCGGACGATAGTCAAATGTGATGTGCAAAAAGTGCGTTTCTGGAGAAAAAGGTCAACTTTAAGGTGCTGCAACTGAAATGTTGAGAGGAATGCAGGGCGTGTAATTCTGTATACATATTTCTTTACTACACTTGCAATAAGCTTGTGTTTTGACCTGAAGATGTTCGCGAAATACTCGTTCATACAGGCAGACTTAAGTCCACACCTGGTCAAATTGGAGTGTAGTGGACCATACTGAATATAGTCAAAAGACTCACAAGGCATGCAATCTTCTCCAAGACACTGCCCACAGCGAGTGTTTGCCAAGACAATGACAAGGCTTGTATCTGCATATATATATATATACATGTATCATTCTATATCTGTATGTATGTCTATATATTTACACCTAAACTACTCGTACTAGTATGAGAGACATTTGCCTTCTTTGATCATTGAAAGGCAGTATGTATCCATCTTCATTCTTCATTTCTTTGCTTGGCAATCCTTCGCTGTTTGCCTGCAGCCGCTTCAGATTCCATCTCAAGGTGGTTTGGCTTGGAAAGATATGTCTTTGGGTACTACATGCTGGCATACAGCACAGCCCCAACTCAGATTGTGCTGATGTTGCTTTGTGTTGTGACCTGGTTGGGTCTCACTGGACATAAAGCTTGCTCTTGCAAAAAAGGGTGCACTTGTCTCTTTCCCACTGATGTGTGCATCAATGGAGGTACTGCCAAAACAATGCCAAAACAATCTGCCTTGTTGGGGCTGATTCAACCAGAGAACATTCTGCGAAATCTGCGAAGCATTTTTCCCTTTACACATTGGAACTCCTGTGATCCCATGGGGTGCTGCCAGAACAAGGAGAGGAACGGCATGGAAAGCAGATGGAAAGTGATCAAATAGCAGAGCTATGCAGAGCTTGTGAATGTACCCAGAGCAACTGGAAGGACATTGCCACTGAAAATCACAGCCCAATTGACTGTGCGCCTTTGTGCCAGAAGTTTTGGAAAAGTGGAGCTTGCAAAATCACCATCCTCTTCCAAGTGTGGCAAGCATATTTTACCAATGCTCTGCTTAGTGCACAGAAACCTTGGATGCACCAAAGTAACATTCCTAGCTAGGGATAGCTAGGGAGCTAATGTTGCAATGTTCATCTTTTCGCAATGTTCAGTTGCTGCTGCTGACAGTGCTGATTGTCCGGATCATCATTATCCACTGCAAAGCAAGACTGTTCCGCCTTGTGTATCACTACGTCATTGTTCGCCATTGCATGACTGATTTCTCGGGGGTCGCCAGGAGCTTTACGTTGTATGCTCATGGGACTGGGACGAAGGCCCGCATTTTGCCTAGTACAGTGCAGCTGCAACACCCAGTACAGTTGCCGGTTGGGCCCGGCCTCAACATCAAATTTCAAGGGCCTCAACGGAGGGTTTACCGCTCTCAATGCACAAGTGGCTGTGCTCATTTCGGCGCTCCGGAGGTAATCACCTGGCGAAAGAAGTGTGGAAACAAAAGGTCGACCCCTACGAGGCAACTTGGCGCTCGTGTTGCAGTGTTTCAGAACGGTCGCTCTGCCGTGGCTTGGTTTCCTGATGCCATCAAAAGAAGACACTTGGTAAATGCTGAGGCCGAGGAGAAAGTCTACACAGGCTGTCCGGGCTTTGCCTATCCAGGGGGGACTGGCAAAGGTCCGACACATTAGAAGCACACATGCAATTGAGGGAATTCATTAGAATCATTAGATCACGGAATCTCGAGAGACAAATGAAACGCATAATGCAGCAATTTGGGAGTGGTGCTGCACCTCATGCAGGTGGGAAATAAAAGTTCCAGCAAAGCTTGTGCTCTCCTTCTGAAGGGCACAAACATTGCCCAAAAAGTCGATGTCGAGCATTAGGCCATTCTTTGGCTCAAAGTAAAGAGCGCCAAAATGTTGTGCTGAGCCTCCCAGTCCACGAGGCAGGAGCATGCAGAAGGGAATAGAAGGGATCAGAAGCGTGCCTGGTTCCTACAGTCTTTGGTTGTGCCCCATGGAATGCAACTGCACAAAGTATGTTCCAGTCTGGTGTCAACTTGTTCCTACCCTCCGTACACTTCCTGACCTGACAAGATGACCATTGACACAGGGTGCATCATGCAACCCGTGGATGGATGTGGGACTTTGCTTGGCTTGTGCAGGTTGTGCGGATTCTCGACAATGTCGCGGTGGCGGCGGTTGGCATTCCGTGGCTTTGCAGAACAACAAAGATACACACTCCCAGAGTCTTGCAACCGTTGTTGATGGAGGGGAGGAGACTGGGAAAAAAACAACCAACCGACCGACCGACCAACCGACCGACCAACCCACCGACCGACCGACCGACCAACCAACCAACCAACACCGCACGACACGACACGAGACGAAACGAAGCAAAACAAAACGAAATCAAAGAAAACAAAACAAAGACACAGACAAACAAATCGACAAACGAACGGACGAATGGACGAACGGACGAACGAACGAACAACCAAACACAAAAACAACACAAAAGACAAAGACAAACACAAAAACAAAACAAACACAAAAACAAAACAAACACAAAAAAACGAAACAAACAAAACAACCAAGCAAGCAAGCACACAAGCAAACAAGCAAACCTTCCCTCCAGATCAAACCTTAGCTTTTCTGATTTCCATCACCCTCGAGTTGAGCAAAGGCACTGTGACGCTGGCAGTGCTTTGGCTTGCATAGAAGTTTCAGCAGCTTAGTGGATGATGTGCATGCACCCTTGCTAAAGCTGCCGCAGTAGATAACATTCATACAGGGCACCTGATGACAGATCAGTCATCAAGCAGGTACGAGCAAGTGGTTGGAAGCTCTGGTATGTGTAGCATTGTTTAACGGGTTCTTGCAGTAAATCCTGTAGAATATCTTGAATGACCCAACCCAGGCATTGCCTTATGACATGACTTATCACTAGAGTTGTCAGCGTTCGCATCTATGCGAGGGATAAACCGCTTTGCTCCGGCTTGCTGCGCTGGTTGAATAGCCCAAATCCATCCAAATCCGGCAAATTCACACGTTGTGAAATGAAAGCGACATGAAACCCAAAGACACTCACTGCAGCGGAGTGCACTTCAAACCTGTGAGGTTGCCGGTGGTGGTGCTGGCCTTTACATGTACCGGCAGAGGCTTGAACCAAAAGTGCGAGTCAATCAATGTGGTATCGCTTGCATCAGATACTGCTACTGCCGACAGAGAATACATACCTTCTCTGAACCAGTTTTGTTTTGTTCTCTCTCACCGTACTGCTCTTGTTCTGAAACTCGCAGCCTGGAGGTTAAAGGACAACAAGGCAGTTGCAGCGAAGGACTTCAATGCAGCTCAGCCCAAGGCGTGCTGATCTGAGTCTTTTGCCTTGGCCGTGTTAAGTTTGGCCGGCAGCACCAGCGTTGACGTTCGGATCGCGATGACGGGCACGACAGGTATTTCAACGTATTTTAGTACTATGTATATACATAGTTAATCATAGTTATATATATCTGATATATAGCATGAACTTTTGAAATTCAGACAAGTATCTCGCTGATGTGTGCATGTTGTATGTACAACACAGCTTGATACCTATGTGATCTATGTGCGTGAAAACGATAAAGGCACATGAAACATCAGGAGACACGTATGTGCCGTATGTGCATGAAGACAGAAGTGGTCTAAGTTCTGCAGACCCGAAGAGGTCTGGGCGACTCATCACTGGAAACGGAATGAAGCTGTCAGAGCGTCGGGATGTCGGATGTCGGGCTGGGTTTAATGCACCAGGACCGCCTTCAGGCTGCTTTCAAAAGCCTCAAGTCCCCAGATGGACGGATCGAGCTGACACTCTGCAGCAAAATAGCCGGAGCCTTTTGTAAGGCATGTGTCACTATCACAATGAATTCTGATTTGCTGTTGCACAGTACCATCATACAAGAGTATCATTTATGTGGTGACGCTCATGCAGCGTTGAAGTAGGACTGAAACATTGCAATGTTGAGTCGAGGAGCTATCTCCCATGAGGTGAGAAACATGCTTGGTCTAGAGTCGGCTAGAGATTCGCTGATTTTCTCTGATTTTTCTTTATGAAATTATATATATATATATTTATGGAATTTTATGGAATTTTATGGCTTTGAGATCTTTGAGGAAGATCCTTGCCAATGCATTGCGGATTTTCATCAATATACTTCACCATACCCAGATCCTGAGAGGTTCAGATATACTACTTGCCCCTACTGTGGCAAGGCCAAGGCACGAAGCAGTCGTCCACACCGACAGTGCATGGTTTACTCAGTTTACTCAGACTATGTGACTATGTGCACTTAAATGTGATTTGTTTCTTTTGTTTTGTTGTTTTGTTGAAAGTGCAATACTAGAGTACAGAGAGAAAGCTGAGGCTCCCTCACAGGGACCTGCTGCGTGAGACAACGATAGTTAAGGATACTTGAATCAAGCGTAGACTTGTCATCATATTTGATATCCCGGCTGTAGATGAACCTACTTGTATAGTTAATGTATGTTAATGTTTCATGATAATCAAGATGCATCAAGATGCTATGGATGACTTGACTGCACAGATAGGAGACTTACACTGTAGACTTAATAGAATCCACTAGTGCTGTTGAGAGAAAGTTTTACCCGCCAAGCACCGTTTTCAGTCTGCAGCGAGGCGTTCTTGGACTATTTCAGAGTCCCATATGCCGCCTGGCTTTGGAATTGGAATCAAAGACGGCTACACTCTAGCAGGGCGAAATGAATTTATTGAGATATCGTCTACGGGGGAGGACCATATCTACCAAACACTTAATCGCAACCAATGCATTGTTTAATCTGTTTTAATTTCAATTAAAATTCAATGTCAATTCCGCATTAATAAACCATGGTTTATTAATTGTGGGGATACCCTGCAAATCCCTGCAAATAGTCACAATATGATACATAAATGGCACCCCCCAATTAACCTGATGCTCTCAGGAGGCAATCGAAGTGGAGCCGATGTTCAAATCCCAGCTAGTACCCAGTGAATACAAAAAGCTTCCGCAGCTGCTTGGCTTTGATCAAGAATCAGCAACAATCCTCATTTGCATCGCATACAGTAGTGTTTTCCGCCTGTACTTACTCCTTTCTCATCCTTTCTCTGCATTCCTGTTTGGGATTGAAGCCCATGAGCAAGCCCCATGAGCAAACATCAAAGACACGTCCGTTTTGTCAACAACTTTTTCCAAGAACATATCAAGTCTTGCACATTGCCAAATGATGCGAATATGTTCTTACACATACATGCATACATAAATATACATAAATGTATAAGGTATTCGTCCCCTGTAGCAACACAACTCTCCTTGTTGACTCTTTAAAAGTGAAGAATATGTTTGACATCATGAGAGCACTCACTTGCTGTACGAACTAGCTTCATTTGCTTTTGTTAAGCACCTTGAGCAATCCCACTGCGCATCGAAGGCTACGATTTGGTGGCGAAGGAGGTGTGTGGCTGGTTGACAGCGACCACATTGACACTCGACATGACTCGACATGGTCGACATGACAGAATGTTCTTCAATGTTCTTCAAAAGTGTCTCAGTGAGACTCAGTCTTTCAAAAGATTCTGGCGTCACTTCCACCAGCCCACAATGCAAAACCTGCAGGAAGTAAATATGTTCTTGTTTAGAGAAGCCGCGGTTGAGGTGAACACCTTGGCCCCACTCCTGGGGCTCGAGAAGCAGCTTACAGATCCCGAGGTGCCTGCAGGGTGAAGAGTTGGTGAAGAATGGAGACGCTGCCGAAGGACACGAGTCCAATCAAAGTATAATATCGAATCAATTTATATCATTATATCAAATTATATCTTCTTTCATTTTGTGTCCATTGTTTTAAATTTGCTTTATGCATTTTCCTTGCTGGAGCGCCGTACAATTCTTTGGATGGTTAGACAATTGCTTTGGGGTACAAGTTCACACACCAACTCACCCAACGCATCGCTGATTTTTCTTATGCTGTCTTCTTTCACTTCTAATTGAGTGTTTCACACTGAATTCATGGAACGACCACGAAGGAGCATGTTTCAAGCCTGTTTCAAGCCTGTTTCTAGTGGATTTTACAATTCTCCTTTCACATCAGTTGTGACCATTGAGCATACCGCCGCATGCCCTTGTGTGGGGCTGAGGTCGAGCGGTGGCGAAATTGGGCACGTGAGAGCTTGGTGCGGCATGTCACTCTCAACATAAACAGGAGCGTCAAGAGGTTGGCGGATGTTAACAACATGCACAATTGTGTGGTTTAGAGTTCATGCACATTTTTAAAAACTTAACACGACTTGAAATCAGATTTTTCTCGTCAGTCTACAGGCAGTTGGTTGTGTGGCCAAATTGCAGTCAAGGATTTTGCCCTTATTTTTGTAGCTATTGTGGTCTCTGCTGTGTCAGTCAATTATGATTACCTCACAAATTACACACAAATATGAAGGGGCTGGATCTATATAGTGTTCTTTTATTGCCAGTTCCAATGAAGTTTATGCGCTTTCATGTTTGAAAGCAGTGCAGGACCTTGTTGAGTGCCTGGGAGGGTTATAGCATCTTGGCTGAAATCACATTCCGCACCCATAGAGGACGCAGTTCTCAAACCCTGATCTTATTTTTGGGCTGACTTTGAGAGGCGGAGAAACACAATTATCCTATACATAATTAGGTCTTAGTTGTGTTCTCCGACTTTCCTCCCAAGTTCTTCATCCAGTGATGCGTACTGCATTTGCCAGTCAAGTGCCCCCTTTGGGGAGGGTCAAGTCAGTTTGTAACAGAGTATCATGTTGTGCTCATGATTTTGCTGCAAGAGCTTTAAACCTGGAGCTCGGCGCGCTCAGGATATATAGACTCTTTCGATACCATCCCTTTGGCCAACAAACTCTTTCTGAAAGTCTCTTGGCAAAGTTGGGAGGCCATCTATTTTTCAAATACACTTGAGGGACCATGCTTCATCAATGCTACATTTTTTGTGCGTGAAGCAAGTCTGCGTTTGGAGACGTACTAGGTCTAGGTAGCCGTCAGTCAAACGCTGCTTTGACCAGCATGCAGGTCCAGTATGCTCAAACGAATCAAAAAATGCCACAAACCTAGTTCAGCATGTTATCTACATTTATCTACAGTATCAGTATCAGTTGGAAAGCTGACTTCCTGTTTTCTTGAGGGTGAAAGGCCTCCACAGCTTCAGGAGCGTTCTTCTTGAGGCACAGAAAACCACGAACAGAACGTGGTGGCCGTTTTTAAAAGGTTTTAAAATTTTAGACTCGACAAATCAGCCTTCTACAGAACTTCTACTATTTGATACTCTCAATGGCGGCGCAGATCTGACCTTCTGCGGGTCCCTATCTCGTCCTAACTCTGTGCATATTCTCTGCACCTGCTACACGCACACAAGGGCTGAAAGCCACAACAAGGTGTCGGGGCTTGCTGCCTCTGTTTGCAAGCCTCCTACCATGTTCTAGCAGACCAACCCCACACCTTTGCTGGAATTGACGCAACACGGATTAACAAATAGCTGCTCCAACCTCCGAACTTTAAGGGATTTTGAGGGTATAAGCTTTGACAGCCATTTACCTTCTTCCCTGGCTATTTAATATTTATTGTTTGATTGTGTTTGCAGCAACGTGTTTGCAGGATATTTCTGGGCTACGGTATTTTACCGTTTTTTTTTTTTAAAGTTTTCTCCGTTTTTTAAAGTTTTGAAGCAAGCAAGCAAGCAAGCAAAGCAAAGCAAAGAAGCAAACAAGCAAAGAAGGACAGAAGCAAAGACTCAAAGAAGCAAGGAAGCAAGGAAGCAAGGAAGGAAGCCAGCCAGCCAGCCAGCAAGGGAGGACAGCCAGCCAGCCAGCCAGCAAGCATGCAAGCAAGGGAGGGAGGGGGGCAGCCAGCGGCAAGCCTGCCTGCCTGCTGGCCAGCCAGGAGGGAGCATAATTCAACCCGAAATAAGCACCTTAAAACCTATATGCGCTATTGAAACCAAGTCTCACTAGATTTTAAATGAATTTAAATGAGCCCCAAAGAAACCCGTAAACCAACCTTAAATAGACCCTAAACAAACCTTGATCCAACCCTAAACATCCTAAACCAACCCTGAACGTACCCGTCAGAAACAGGAAACCAACCAGAAATAGACCTTACCTAACCTAAACAGTCCATAAACACCCATAAGCTAGATTCGATTTAAATAAGCTACAAACAAACACTAAATAGCCCCAAATAAACACCTTAAGCCAACCCGAAATAAACTTAAGCCAAGCTTGAATAAACCCTAAGCCAACCCGCAAGAAGCACTTTGAACCAACCCTAAACAAGGACCTTAAAGCACCACGGAGAAATCAAAACAACATTTTCAAATCTTAAACCAACCGTAAACAAACATGCTAAACCAAACCTAAATTAAAAAAACATAAGCCTACAACAAATTAACACACACACAACATCGACGTAGGGTGAAGAAAGAACCTTAAAACAAGTTCTACATCGACCTCAAATCAATCCGAAGCAAACCTTGAACCAACCGTGAAGAAACCTTCAACCTGCCCCAGACCCATTTGAAACCAGCCCTAAATAAACACCTTAAAGATGGCCCAAATAAATCCCAAACCATCCGCAAAATAAACAAGCTGAACCAACCAGCAATGAACACCTCAAACCAACCGTAAATGGGCCCGCGGCCGGCCCTCACGGGGCTGCTTGAATCCTTGGGCCGACTTCAAACCATAAACCAACCATGAATAGATGTCCTAAACGAGCCTAAATCTATCCCAAACCAATCAACCTTAAATTAAGACCCTAAACTTGAAAGAAACACTTGAAAAAATCAGACCAATTCCAAATATATAATAATATATATATAATAACAATATATAATAATCTATAAAAAGGTATAATAATATATAATAATATATAATAATATATATGATAATATGATAATATGATAATATAATAATGTATAATAATATATAATAATATATAATAATATATAGTAATATATAATAATATATAATAATATATAATGATATATGATAATATATAAATATATATATATATATCTAATAATATATAATAACATATAAAACTATATAATAATATAAACATATATAAAAACATAATAATATATAATAATATATAATAATATATAATAATATATACTAATATATAATAATATATACTAATATATAATAATATATAATAATATATAATAATATATTATTATATATAATAATATATAATAACATATAATAACATAATAATATATCATAATATATAATAATATATCATAATATACCATACATAATAATATATCATAATATATAATAATATATAATAATATATAATAATATATAATAATATATAAAAATATATAATAATATATCATAATATATCATAATATATCATAATATAATAATATAGTAATATTTAACAATATATAATAATATATAATAATGTATAATAATATATAATAATGTATAATAATGTATAATAATATATAATAATATATAATAATGTATAATAATATATAATAATATATAATAATGTATAATAATATATAATAATATATAGTAATATTTAATAATATATAATAATATATAATAATATGTAATAATATATAATAATATATAATAATATATAATAATATATAATAATATATAATAATATATAATAATATATAATAATATATAATAATAGATAATAATATATATATATACACACCATCCCCAACCAAGCCCGCAAACCAACTTTAAATAGACCCTATGAGCCAGCCTTAAATAAACCCTGAACGTACCCGAAAGAAACAGCACAAAGGTTCCATAAACCAACTCTAAATAAATCACTTTCTTCGAGTGATCCCCTATCTGACATCTATTCTGACATTCTCTCTGACGTTCTACCAGGCATTCTTTCTGACATTCTATCTGACATTTTGCACTCGCAATTGAGATCCCGCAGAGCCCACTGAAATCTGGTTCTCGCAGTTCAGGTCCGGCAGTGCCCACTGAGATCTGGAGCTGGCGGTTTGATGTCCAGAAGGAAGGACGGAAGGAAGGAAGGAAGGAAGGAGGAAGCAACTCTGATAAAATCTAGAGACCCTCACCTGGCAGGTGGGGAACAACAAAAAACTTCAACAAACTTACACCAAATCTTAAATAAACACCCTAAACCAACCCGAAATCAGCCTGAACCAAATTTAAGGAAACCCTAAACCTTGAATCAGCATTCTAAGCCAACTTTAGATTGAAAAGTCAAACTATATAAATACAATGCAAAAATACCTTAAAAACTAGCCTTGAATAAATTTCAATCCAACCCTGAAGAAGCACACAAAAAACTTTAAGTAAGTTGTTCAAACAAAATCTAAATAAACCGAACCAGAAATTTACAGCAAATAAGCCCCAAACGAACCCTAAATAAATTTCAAACCTATCCCGGACCAAGAAAACACACCCTAAATCAACCGGAAACCAACCCTAAACAAAGTTTCAACCAACCCTAAACAAACCCTAAACCAATTCCAAATAACCCCCAAACCAACCCGAAAGAAACACCAGAAACCATACCATACCTACTTATGTAACCAACCCCAAATAAAGACTAAACGCACCGAACATGAACCATAATCAAACCCTAAATGATGGCGCATGCAGTTTTGGTGACTTTTCCCACAATGGGTTGAGATGAGAGCATGTTCCTGCGCGAAAAGTTTTGTGCAGCCTCCTGCAGGTTAGTGGTGTTTTCTGTAGGGCAGAAGGCTTGAAAAAAACACAGACATCTGAAAAAGAATCCTCACAGAAAACCGGTACCCATATTTCTGCCAATGAGGTTGTTGGAGCGCCTGTGATGTGACCTGGCGGAGCACTGCTGAAACCAAGTTACATCCCCTGTCTCACATCAGGTTTTCAGCTTGTTCGGTATGGGCCTATGTAGAGAACTTCAGGTATTGTGGTAAAATCAAATACGCAAGGAAGACAATATCCCCTCTGATGTCCATGTATCATACTTTCAGCGATTGCAGTCTTGTGAAAATTTGTTCGAGAAAGGGGTCGGACTCTTTGCTATTTGAACGTATTTGTGACAGCCCCCCAATATTCAAGCGGTTTGAACGGAGACTCGCATGTTGCAAACCCATGTGGCCTACTTGCTCGCTGATCTAGTTTTTTACGGTATTTTAAACCTGTTTAAGTTATTTTATATCGCGACTTCTATCAGGATTTCAATCCGAAGCCATTAGTTAATCACTCGCACAGCAAAGAATTCCCAGAAGGTTTTGCAGAAATGTTTGAGGTACATGGTTGCAACAAAAAAAACTTACCCTACGCTGGTGAAGGCGGGCGAGTTAAAGGACTGCTACCGACTGGTGCTAGATTCATGCGTGCATGCTTGCAAAGACTAGTCAGGAAAAATATGAACAAATCAAATTTGAGACCACACCTATTGAGTAAGACTGCATTTAGTCTTATATACAGCTCAATGTTTACTCGATTGGAATGAAGTTTCAAAGCAACTACAGGGATGAGCATACCTCCAAGAGT